CGTGATTAAGTATTTTACGACGAATATTAAATCTAGAAACAATTTACGTTTTCTTCTTCTGTCTTTTGCAATAATTTTGAATTTGTATTTAGCGATCAGATTATCAAACATTTCTTTTTATTTCATTTGTTTCCCCGAGCTCCTCGGAAACTGCAATAAACCGCAAAACCTACAATGGCTAACAGCAAAAGTAAGTGAAAATTCGTAAATGCACTTAGCGTGATCTGCCTGAACTTGAAAAAAGATATTTATGCGAAAATTAGAACAGTAGCATGTAAACATAGTTTTTTTTTAATAACGCATTAAACTTTATGTTTAATATAAGCACCAGATTGTGGGTTAATGATATATTTGCATTAAAATTTCTCTACGTGGGAGAGTAAATGAGAAACAATTATGTTATTTTTAAATGGATGGGGCAACCGAGATAGAATAAACAGTTGAGGGCGAGACCAAACATAAAAATGAATATAAATTCCTTTATATTGTTAGATTACTTAACTCCCTATACCAGAAAGGTCGTCAAAAGGTTTCCCATCATCAGAAGATGACACCTTCGAATGGAAGATACCGGTTTCCTTGACCCGACCTAGTGATCCTCAGCTTCTTTTCCGCCACCCTAAAAGGGTTGCCATCCAACAAATCCTCCACTAGCCTGATGAGAATCACGATAAATCCGTGCGTAGATTCTCTGTTTAGAGAGTACGAGAGGGGAAAAACAAAATCATTGACATAATTATTTTTCAAATCGTAATTTCTGATATTAAAAAAGCATTAAAAATTTATTTGGGGCATTGAATTAAAAATTCCTACATCCATTGAGAAGATAAGACCAAACTAACTGAGAAACAAAAAATACTCGCGTCTCGAAATCATAAGTTTCCAAACTTTTTTTTGATTCATCACCCACTTAGCAAAACCATCTTTTCTACATCCCCCAAAGATTTTTTTCTTCTTCAGAAAAATCTGCATTTTTGATAAGATGTACTCAATTATGCCGTTAATATTTTAGAGGGTTTGTATTTACCAAAGTATTGCTATTGAGAATTATTTTTAGAAATTTTCATGAAGCTGTTAGTATTTCTGCTTGTATCGATTCAAATTCAATATATCGCCATGTAATTTAAATAATACATTAAGTATCATACTTTTAAAAATTAATTTGCATATTTTATGTAGCTGATAGAAGTGAGGTGCAATTTATTAAAAAGGACCGCAGAGATAATCTGAAATATATCAGTGATCTAACACCAGTAAATCCAGTACTAAGACAAACAAATTTCAAACTTCAGTGATTTGTATCTCATACATTAACTGTAAGAAATCCTAAGATTTTTGAGAAAAATAAGCGAGAAAAGTATTTAAATATCTTCAATTTCTCAAAAAATAAACATAAATTTTTTGTTCCTTTCGATTGCGATGTTATCGCCAAAAGGAATTTAATGCCAACTCCTGTTTCGAATAGCTAGAGCAACCGATGTTTCTGTGCTAGATAACAATACAAGTTTCAAATCTTTTTCTGGCTGCTACAAGCAGAATTTACACCAGAAGGAATTTATCATCCATTAAAATTTCGACCTCTTTCCCACTTGCTAAAGGTTTGAAATCTCAACTGCGTCTAAAGAAAATACAAATTTCAATCGCTTTCTGACTGTTCTGCTATAAGCACATGTTATCGTCACTTTATTGCCAAATATATCGTTAATCACGATTGTAACATCATGCTACAGTTCAAATTTCAGCTGGTGCTTAGTGCTGAAAGAAAATACAAGTTTCAAACGTTTCCAAGCTACTAAAAGCATAATTTACGGCCAAATAGTATTTGTAATCGAAATTGCAACTACTTGGCATTATAGGTCCCCGATTTCAAATAGAATTTAGAGCGGTAAGGCAACTCAAACTTCATCTGTTTCCTAATCATTAAAAGGGAAATTTACAACCAAATTGTAATTATCGACATCATCGATTAAAATTTTTTACTGAATAACAGGAACTGAATATAACTGATATGAGGGAATATAAATTTTATTTACTTTCTAATTGCTGCAAACATAATTTAATTGTTAAATAGAATTCATCCCCAATTGAAAGTTCGGTTACTTTTAGTTTAGTGAAGACTGCTTAAATTTCAACAGGGTCTATCTGTGTCAGCTGACAAAACGAGTTTCAATTGTTTTCTAAATGTCAAAATTACTACTTCACTGAAAATTGAAGTTTTTGAGCGTCATAAACTAACAAACATGGTACTAAAGAGAAGAAAACAAAAATTTGGAAAATAATGTTTTCATGGGTGCTATATCTTTTCACACCTTAAACGAAAATCATGGGGTGTATCACTTTCGTGATAAACTTCCATTAGTACCGAAAGTACCCCCACCCCATCCATATCTTTCGAAAGTGATGAGATATATTCCAAAGTTTGGACCCCTTAATCTTAATTTATCTTTTTACGTAATTTGCCGTCTCTCGTGAACTTTTTAAACCAATTGTAAATTCGTTCATCAAAAGCTGTTTCCATGCAAAAAATAACTTTTAGAAAATATTTTTTATTATTTTATTTAATGATAGTCAAACAATTTTTGAATCGTAATGTAATTTTTTACATCATTTTAAAGAATGTAATGTCACAAAGCGAAATACAAATTTTGAGTGAGATAGGTCAAATAGTTTTCGAGAAATCAAATTTTAGAAATACGGCTTTTACTTTAAATAAAAAAAAAACTCTACTATAATGCGGGAAATTTTTTAAAGGCGTTAAAAAAAAAATAACAGCTATAATTAACGCCTTGTAAACACAATAGAGAATAATAGTAAATAATAATATAAAATAAATCAATGAAAAGGGAATTAAATAAAACTAATATCAAAACAGAGATAGTTCTTACAAATTACGTATTTTCTTTTTAAACAACAAGATTCCTTTATAAATATATTCAAATTCTAAATAAAATTAATTTCATTGTCGGAAGAAGCGAATCGGGAAAGATTATTAATGGTATTAAGAATCAAAGGCAAAACTTCCTTAAAGATTAATAATATTCCATAAAAAATTATCAAGACAATGGAAGATTACTACAGTAAGCTACTATTATTAGCTGAAACGCGAAGTAAAACGAAACAAGAAAAAAGACCGCAACGCCACAATAGTTTCTGCTCAAAGAATGGGCAGATGAACTTTCCCACGACAGATTTCCTGATTTTTGCCAATAACAAATCAGAAATTCTTCACGCAAATTGCTTGATATCGAGTTTTCCTTAAACGGATAACTTTCATCGAAAACAATGATTCAAGTAATTTTTATTTTCGTTTAACTGAAAATAAGGGCTCTGAGTAAGGGTTCCAAGAATTATTAATTTGATCAGTAATAATTTTTTAAGCCTGTAATTATATTTAGCTCCATCCAATTAATATATCCATTATTTATTTAGTTTTATGATTATTTTTATGAAATTATTTCAGCAAACTGCTAGTTAGATTTAATAATATAGTATACATTTATATATGTATTTTTGACATGCATATACATTTCAAAGCAATGTAGCGAATGAATTATGAAAGCGAAAAGCATTTAAATAAATTGCATTATAGAATTTCCCGCCGAGCTTTACTATTTATTATAAAATAAAATCAACAATAATTTTTTTTTTCTTTCATGACTATTTTCTACGTTTATAATAGTTCTCTTTCCTTTTCATATAAACAAAATCATGAATAAACTATCTTAAATATTACTTATAGCGTATTATTTATTATTTTCAATCTATGTATACAAAAAAAGAAAAGAAAAAACACTAAATTGATTTAATTACCAACAGAACCTATTGTTAAAAACGCTTTTTTATTGTTAAAACAATGAAAAAATTTCATTCCTATATCAGGGTGCGTAGCCAAATTATTTAAGAAAAAATAAGCACCTTTTTAGGCACTTTTCAAGCACTCGAAAAATATTTTTAAGCACTTTAATAAAAAGTTTCTGACAATTAACGGTTTTATCTTGTTTCAACCGTCATGTGGGGGGGGGGGAACCTTTTGGCAATGTTTTTGAAAATTGTCAAAAATCATGAAATTTTGAATCATGTAAAATCGTTGAATCATGTAAAATCGTTTTGAATCGTTGTCATACGCTACGGACTGACGATACGCTGAAATAGATTGGGGTTGAATTAATTGTGGAAACGTTGAATAGAACAATGTTAAGTGTGCCTTTTTGCACAATTCGAAACGAAAATCAACATAGTAAATGAAAAATCTCATTTTGAAAGTGGGAAAATAAAGCACTTTTTAAAAACACCCAATGAAAAAAAAACCGTTAAGGGGTTTTAAGAAACGAAAATGGAAAATAGGCACCTTTAAGCACTTTTTAAAAACGCTAAGCACCCTGTATACGTTCTAAATAAATAACAGTTAGTTAAAGTGTTTTTATTGCTAATGAACTTCATTAAATCAAAGTTCCAACAAAAGTCAAGTCGATCATTGGATTCCGTAAGCTTAAAAAAAAAAAAAAAAGTGATCACTAAAATACGTGATTCAAGATTTCCGTCATAACATATCAAAAATTAATTCGATTTTATTGTAGCCAAATTAAAAAGAGGGACAATAAATCACATTAATAAATAAATTTTTCTGTCACGAATCGGAATTATCAACTACGAATAAAATATAAATTTTTTTAAAAATTGAGAGAAAAACACTTTTTTTTTCTAGCGAACAATCTATTAAATGCTTGCCATTCCGAAATTACTTTTAACATAACCAATTTTATACCTTTGTGTTTGCTTCAGCAGTTCATGAATTCTAGCCTAAATTATTATGAAATTTTTTTTTCTCGAAGTTTATCCGAATTTGCTTTTTTCTTTAACAAACCTGCGTAAAAAGTCAATAATGCGCGTGAATGAGAACTTAGAAAGAAAAAAAAAGAGGGTGCTGGTAAGGATGGAATAAGTAAGAGTAAATAACAAAAAATTAAATTTGAGATTAGCGGTACACCGAGGAAATTTTTTCGGAATGTAAATTATTGATTCGCGGAAGTCCGCGAAACAACGGTCTTGATATTCGCGGACTTAGTCAAAGAATATGCATCAAAAAGTACGCGTAAAAAATCTCACCAAAAAGTACGAAGAATCGCCAAAAGTGGCACGTGAACACTATGGAAATTCCCGTTGGAAACATGGAATGGAAAGAGAATGAAGAAATGGTCATCTGCATCACTTTCCTTTCGCGATGTTGAGGACGGAAGCTATGTAGCATGTCTTCTTCAAACAGCCATGAGGACCTCTTTACCTGATGACTTTGTTCAACCCCGAAGACCTTAATTGATTACCGGTGAGAAAGCGCAATGCCGATCTTTTTCATCACGGTGAGTAATGCATACATAAATTTTTATTACGCAAAAAATTTAAAATTATTTACAAATAAAATTGGAATTTATTATTACATTAAAAAAATATGATTAATAATCTCGTATTAATATACATTATGAATACTGACTGATAGCGATTGAGCTTAAAAACAGTCTAATTTATAAGCTAAAGGACCATTCTCACTAGGGACGATTTTTTTCACACGCGAATGAGAACCGAATTAGTGGAAAATATTTGCCCCCTAAAAAAAATCCCTCTATACCAGTTACCTACTTTTTAGAGGTTTAAAATAAATCGGAAAAATAATCCAAGTACCCATTTTGAAATTAAGATTTCTTTTAAAAGCAGTTAATTTTTACGCATATGACAAATGTTCGAGTTTTTGGAAATAGAGAACTAATAATGAATGAGTCTTACTAGTACTTTTTTTTTCTTAATTAGGACATACGTTATTTATAATACAGTATAAATTATTGTATCTTAGTGCAAATGAAGCTAATAATTATTGAAAATGTAGTACATAAACGTGGCCTTGAAACCTGGAAGGAAGTTCTAATTAAATTTAGAAAAGAGAACAGCTGACAGAAAACACCCCCAGGGTCAGATTGTCTATATAAACTTCAGAGTTGGAATATTTTTGAACGGGAATAAATTAGAGATAAACAAAATTTAATTAGAACAAGAAAAAAAAACCTTCTACTTATAGTAATCTTCAGTATAATTTAAAAGTGTTTTTTGAGATACAATTCTTGTTTTTATTTTTTCCTCATTTGTAGAAATAGGTTATTATTATTATAACTTAGCACAATATATATACATTTAATAATTAAGCAAGACCTTGTATATTATTTCATTCATAATATTTTAATTGTTTTTTTTTCTTTATTTCTAGCCACAAATAAAATTAAAATAAGTAATGACATTTTTAAAATTCTCTAACAAAAAAATCGGAAATTAAAAAAAAGTTAAAAAGCACAGCACTGGATTCAGAAGTCTTGTCTACCACTAATATCCATATTTATTTAAAATCCTTAGGTCATAAAGTTATTTAAACTATTATTCTAGGTGTCGAAATTGTTTTTCTTGTTTTTCGTATGAGTAGTGTGCGTTGTTACTTTTTAAATTCCCCTAAATGAAATTCAAGGTCAAAGCCAAAACAAACGGGAAGCGAAGGTCATGACCCCAAGGAAAGTTTCAATGGATGAGAAATTTAAGCTAATTAATTTAAATAAAACAGAATTTTTAAAAAGGTTTTTAGACTAATGAAGGTGTAAATATTAATTTTCAAGTGTAAAGGGCTACTTTTAATGTCAGAAAAATCTACAAATTTCTCACTCCAGCCATTGCAAATCACAAAATAAGCACATTTTTAAAACACTTTTTGAATTTTACAAAAAGTTTTATCATAAAAAATATATTTGAAATGATCAGTTGTTTTGCCAACAAGCAGGACTTTGAAATGATGGACCATGAATGTTTAATAAATTACTGAAATAATAATAAAGTATACATTATCTTTAAGTAATTGACTTTTTTATATCTATACATAACTAGTAGTTTTGCTTATATGCAACGAACATTTAATGCTGCTTTATTACATATGATTTTTTTATTACAATATATATGATCTATTATATTGTGGTCTAATGGTTAATCTAATGGTTCAAATCATAGTCTTTATTTGTATATTACAAATTTAGCTATGAAAATGAAACAGTTGTAACATGTTAAACAATATAAATATACTGTAACAAAACTGTGTATCTGTATAATTAATACCTGAAACTAAAACTCTAAGACTTAATTATCTAGAATTGGCTGAGACTACACTTATGCCATTTTTACAAATTCTGGATTTTGAAGAAGATAAAATAAATTGTAGCTTTATGAAAACAATATTAATGTGAATATGCAAAAGAAATATTTACCCATTGCATTGCTAATATTAATTGGCTTGATTGGTTCAAAGTACAGATGAGGAATAAATAAATTTAGAAAACTGCTAATAATATTTTCTAGCATTTTAAAATGAAAACTAGGGAGACTTAGACCTTAGAATTTTGCAATAAATAACTATATGAAAAATATTTGAAGTGGAACAAATAAAAACAGAGAGCTTACATCTGTTTTATTATTTTCCTTCTTATTATTTTATACCTCTTCTTCTACTAGTTAAATCATTTTTTTAAAAATGTAACCTGTTAGTTTTGGTACATTTCTTCTGTCATTTTATTTATAGACACTGAGGAATGTTCCCCTGTATAAGAACAAAATACTATGTTTATATCTGAACCTTTTATTTGAGCTTTATTAACATTGTTTTTCCTTATTCATCTTTTACTGAGTAGCCACTGGGAGTCGCATTTGGAGATTAACTTGTGTTGGGAAGTAGTTTAAAATATAATAGAATGAACTATTTAATCATCATTTTCAAAGACTTGTGACAAGGGGCATGGCCTGGACTTGATTACTAAAAATATCATTGATTTTTAGGTCAAAAATATTTTTTATTTAGGATAGGTTTTAAATATATATTTAAATTATATTTTTTCATTAGCTGTGTATAAAACAATTTGCCATTAATCAACACATTTCCATAATACTTAAATCAGTTTAATGTTTATCTAGATACAAATACCTTTTGATATTTTATTTATTATTATTTTGATTTCCGGACCTAAATTTATTTATTCTTTATTTGATATCAAACTAACAGGATCTTTGTCTTTATTAACTTATGGAAACATTGAGCTTGACATAACAGAACAATTTTTTTCAGTGATTAATTTGCAATAATTATTTATCATGTTAGTTAAGAGACATTAAGTACTTCAGTTTAAATATTCTTTTTAAATTGCATTAAGCATTAATATATTTTAGTGGAGCTTTGATGCTATAAAATTTTATTTTTTCCAATGATCATTTTGAAATTATCTAATTGTTTTATGAAGAAATATTAAGTAAGTTAGTTATATTGTTTTCAAATTGTATTAAGCATATTTTATTTGAGCTTCTATTGGTATATACCATGTTAAAAAAACACACACAATGTGTTAATTTTTTAAGTAATAAACTACAGAATATTATGACTTTTCTTAAGATAATCTACATATTACCTTAGCAATGAATAAGATAAAAATAGTTAAAATAGTCAGGGGCCTGTGCTAAGGACCTCAAATTATTAGCCAGTGAATTAGCCAAATTTCAAAATTCTTAGACAAAGGCAAATCTTAGAAATTTTTTATGTTTTATTTTTTCCAATACAAAACTTAAATTGTCGAAATACAAATTTACTATAGTTGGGTTTTTATAGTTGGGGAGGAGTAAATGAGCAATGAATGGAGAGAGGAAGAAAAATGTAGATGTTTTATCGTGTTTGAGGAAAAGAATTAGGAACAGGTTGTGGTTAATTTATAGTAGCTTCTCTAGAGTAGAGCAGTAATATAAGGATAAACCTAAAGCAACATTATGCTTTTGTCACGCGAAAACATTTTCGGCGACAATAGTTGGATTATAATATTGATACTACTTAATCTGGTTTATTGACACAAACTATAGAAGGGGAAAAAAAGGGGGGGGGGAATAAGTCGTGTAATATTTCATGATCCAGGAATGAACATGGTGACCTGTATTTTAAAGTAGTTTGTCTTATGCTTACATATGCTCTCTTGTTGCTTACATTATCTGGACTTAATATAATTCTAATTAGTTATGGGATGTACCTAACAAAAATTACAGTAATCTTATAAAAAATACAGGACTTGTTCATAAGAAATCCGTTCAATTTTTTCCAGATAGGGAGGAATATATACTCATCTTTTCGGTAGAAAAATCCCTCGCCGAATTTGCAATATTTTTACATTTGGCGAGATGACAAATGATTAGCACAGTCCCTGTATAAAGATAATATTTAATTGCCTTTATAATGTCATAATCATAAGAAAGTTTTTAAATTAGAATTCAAGTCTAATTTTAAGAAATTTTTTTTAAAAAAAGTTTTTGGTTAAAAAATATATGGAATTTAAGATTCAACCTTCACTATAAATGTTACTTTGTGTATAGCATTATGCAGTAAAATTGGTGGGACAATTTTTAAAAACATGAATATGTAGCAGTTCGACAATAAAATATTACATTAATTAAATATCACAGAGTTTCGATAGTTCAAATTTCCCACAAATCCGAGTTAATGAAAAATTGTCAGTTTTGCTCTAAAATAATGACCAACGCACACACAACACATGGAACGATTACTACATTTGGTTTTACAACAATTAATACAACTGAATGTTGAAAAACAAATTTGTGTGTTAAGCACTGAAGCATGTTAGTGTAGTCAATCAAAAACATGTGTATCAATCTTTATTAGTTTTAATTTTACTTTACTGTAATTTTGTAGTGATTAGTTCTCATGTGGCAACGGATCAAACACTTATCCGAAAACTCTTCCGAGGGTAGGTCGGTCACTATTATTTAAACAAAAACATTAGCCAATTATTTTAAAGTACAATTAGCCTAATGCTATAATATAATGAATATTGTAACTTGGTGTAATGCAGTAAATGAACCCTGATTTCCTAATGAGTAAAAATTTTCTTCAACTATAATATATCTTTCAATTAAATACAGAAATTTAAAAATTGATTCATTTCCATTTAAAAAAATTTAAGTTTTTGAAAGTTCGAGGTAGGCTCGATCTTGTCTATCTAAAATTATTGAGACTCTACTGTATTAACTTCAACATAAAAGGAAAGATCTTTTTAAGAAAATATGGCTTCTACATACTGCTGAATTATGTAGAAGCGAAGAATTAGTTCTGTATCGACAAAGTAATTTTTTTTATGTGCTTAATATTTGAGAAAATTTGAAACGATTAAAAGAACAAAATTTAGAAAGTGTCAAGTTTAACTGTACCTATAAATACTTAATTTCATAATTTTTATTTAACAGAAAAACACACTAACTTAAAACTTCAGAGTACAATTAACATGTTGAGCATTTTAGATATTTTTAAGGACTTTACTGTCAGGCCATATGTTGATGCTTAGAAGTGCTGTATTGTGTTCACTCACAGATTGAAAAAAATAATACAACTTTAGTTTGTAATAAATAAAATTAAGCAAATTTTAAAACTAATGCTCGAAAATTACTAAAAATAAAGTAAATTTTTTTGTTTTATGCAATATTTTACAATGTAAGTAACTAATGGCTAGTTTAGTCTAAACGGCAAGCTCAGTGCCAGATACTTAATAGGGATCAATAAATACTCCTTAAACAATACTCAGAACTTATAATCAAATTATATATTTATTGATCAGTTTAATTTTTAACACTGAAAAAAATTAATATAAGAGCAAGATAAATTTTTTAAAAAAGGACAAAATTAGAAATATATATATATAATTTTAATCATAAATTCATAATTCTAATCATATAGAATTGGAATTATATATATTTTTATTTATATTATATAAATTAATAATCAAACTAATAACTATTTTTTACTTCAGTTTCAGTGGTTTCTATTTTGGATAAGCTTAATATGGCCAAGTAATATGGTACAAGGAAATGTGATCCAATATGGGATGAGAATAAAACCAACAAAGAGAATTGTGCCATACATTCAAAATTCTGCCAACTGCTTAACATGCAACAAAACCAGTACACTAAAATCAAAAAGTGAGAAAGAAAACAGTATTCCAACCAATAATGATAAAACTCCTGTAAATCCTCTGGTCAAAATTCAACAGACTAATTCACCAATATATTCAGCATATCCGCGACAAAATTCCAGCAATGGAGCAACCTTCTTTTTCACACAACTGGAGCCTCATCGCTTCGAGTACCGTGCCATGTTTCAGCATCGACGCAATGACTTTCAACCATTTGTTCATGAATTTCAGCCATTTAGTAGAGACTATCCACCACTACCTAAACTGTCATCACTATCAGACTTCACAGATTTTTTCCATAACAATGACCCTTTTCCTAAACTTCCAGATTTTCCTAATACCAATGAACATTTTCCCAAAATTGCTGACTTTGCCAACAAGAATGAGCATTTTCCCAAAATTGCTGACTTTGCCAACAAGAATGAACATTTTCCTAAAATTCCAGACTATAACAACAATCATTTCCCAAAAATCCCTGATTTCATTAACAACAATGAACCGTTCGCAAAATTACCAGAATTTACTTTCCCAACTCTTTCACCTGAAGTAAAAAGGGTATGGAATCAAGTTCCTGTGTTACAACCACCACCTAAACCAATAATAGAAGTTGATAATCCACTGATTAAAAACTATGATGTAGTTTTAGGTCAAGTAACTTACCCCAAAATATTCAGATTTAATGAAGAAAGGATTAATATTGAAGACTTTGACCGACAGAAAAAATTAAGATATTTCAATTTGGCAAAGCATGGTGATGTTTCAGACACAGAAAATGTAAAACGTGATCATTTATTAATTCTACATGGAGGTATCTTTACAGTGAAAGAACCGCCCTTGTTTAATAAGCATTTTAAAAAGAGACGAAAGTTAAATGCATTTAAACGACATGCAAATCTGTAAATATAAAAAATTTTGGAGCCATATAATTAATAATCTAAAATACTTATTACCTTACCCAAACATTAAATAAACAGTAAACAAAAAAATAATTTAAAATTAAAAAAAAAAAAAAAAAAAAAAAAAAAAAAAAAAAAAANAAAATGAAAAAAAAAAAAAAAAAGAAGATAAATCAGTTAAATAAATAAGAATATTTTTCACTAATGTATATATAAAACTAGGCCACTAATTTTGTACATCAACATCATCTTTGATCAATAAAAATTAGCAAAACACTTTGTCTTATTTTTCTTGTCTAAAAATGCACAATATTTCTCAATAAACGATTCTTGAAAGTAATAGGACAACTGGAATTTCTGCCATTTATCTTATGTATTATTCATTTTGAAAGCTTTGGTAATATTCTATCCATATAAATGCCAACAAAGAAAAAAATCAGCTGAATATTTTAATACACGTATAATTGTTTTTTTAACTATGTATATATCAAAATTTTGTACAAATATGATTTTCTGAAAACTGAACTTTCTTAGGTTTTGTAGTGATTTAAAATAAAAATAAGTACAATATTTTACAAAAAAAAATCTAGATATTTCTGGAATTGTTTGCAATAAGGACATTTTAAATATACACGTAGACTATTTTTAAGGGAAAACAAATAGCTAAAAAAAAGTACTATTAAAAGTATCTTGCAGAAAGATATTAGTACAAGAGAGGTTTGTTGTGGAAAGCCCAGAACAATTCTGCCTCAGGGATACACAGATACTTCATATTTTACGATAATGAAGAATATTACTGAAAACTAGGAATTTTCATTTTAAACAAAAGTTTTTCAAAATTACAAGGAATACTTGGGAAGAAATTTTGTTTTTTGTTTTTTATTAGAAGGAAATTCACAACGCAGATGGAAGAATGGTACACCTGCATCTTCTCTTAGATCAGTAACAATTTGTCGCAGTTACAACAACATTAAAAAAAAATGCCATTAAGAAACCAAAATAATGTACAAAGTTGATTCTTTAAAAAAAATTATTTTACACTTATTTTAGGTACGGAATATTTCATTTACAACAAACAATAAAGTTAGAGTACAATAAATAAGACTTACAATATTTTGCAGACTAGGAAACACAATAAGATGATTGTAGTAGTATTTAGCTTTTATTCCAGACATATTTTGGAATTCAGCGAGTGCTTATTTTGCCTTGTGTGATATCATTATGGCATTACATACTCCCTTCTTTTCAAATTCCCTGATCTCTCCACGACAACTGAACATTAAAATAATCTATATTTACCCTTTTTTGCTTGCATCACATTAAACATAGGTTTACGATATTAGGTTTACTTTAATTTCCAGCAAACGTTTTAGCCTTAAATATTCAGCCAAATTATTTAAATATTAACGTGAAATTCGCATATTTTGCTGACAGCATCTATTTTTTAATAATACATATACAATGGATTTTTCTGTACTCCAAAAGCATTGATTAAATACAACTTTTGATTAGACAAGTCGTAGGATTTATATTCCATGTCCTGTTTATATTCATATTATGCAAAATTTATTTTTTATTTGAAACGTCACTTGGATAACAACATTCATTATAATTTGCACCTCAAGGTCTGCAATGAGATAAAATTTTTGCCATATTTATCATCATGTTTCCTACATTTGTATAAATAAGACATTTGTTATTAATTTTTTTTTTTTTTATTTCTGCCAGAGTCAACAAAAAAAAATTCATCTACCTATTCCAACTGCAGAATTTTCCCATCATGACTCTTTTATTTAAAAATAATGGAATTGTAAGGCTTTATCTCTTCTAATTTTCTTTATTACCATTTATTCATGTTTATTCTTTGATATGTTAATAATAACATTAATACCACTTAACTTGCTTTGATTTTAAATCAAAATAATAAAGTTGAACAGGGTCTTATCTAGAAATGAGGGAGAACTAGGAGCAAAAACTGTGAAGGGGCCTTCTATTCTATGCATGGCATCAAAGTGGACAAAAATAAAAAAGGTGAACTTTTACAATGCAGGTCACTGGGAGGAGGGGGGAAGCGTTCTATATGACACTGTGACATCGATGATATATATAAAAGCAACTTTTGACTGCGCCTGGAGATTTTTATTTAAAGTGGCAGAAGCATTTAGACAGTTAACTTCAAATTTTTCTTAAATATAATTTTAAAATTTTAACCACTACTATATTAAAGAAAATTTTGCAATTATACAAAGGCGCGACTAGTAAATTACTTACTAATAAAAATATCACATCTTTCCAGTAACTAATTCAAGAGAAGACTTACTTCTACTTCTTTAAAGAATCGCGATATTGGATTTTAAAATCGCGTGAATATGAATCGGGCGGTTGGATTTTAAAATCGCGTTAATATGAATTGCACTGATGGATTTTAAAAACACAAGAATACAAATTGTGATATTGAATTTTAAATCGCGTAAATAAGAATCACGATGTGTAATTTTTAGATCATGTGAATACGAATCACAATGAGTAATTTTTAAATAGCGTACAAATACGAAAAACGGTATCTGATATTACAACTGCTTGATAACGAATCACAATATTGGATTTAAAAAGCGTGAATACCAATCGCTACGTTGGATTTTAAACTCGCGGGAATACAAATCGCGATATTGGGTTTTTAAAAGGCTTCCATACAAATCGCGATATTGGATTTTTAAATTGAGTGAATGGGAATTGCTATTACGATTTTTAAATTGTGTAAAAAAATCACAACACGTAACTTTTAAATCAGTTTAAAACGCAAATCGATGATTGATATAAAAATCGTCTGATTAAGAATCGCGAATTTTGCAGATTTCGGCGCAGTTCCCAATATTTAAAATTCCGAAAATCAGCCGAACAAAAAATATTTAAATATTGGTGGTCGAAACGAGACTGCTTAGACTCTACTGAGTTTCTTTTTAAGATAGAAAAAGAAATTTGTTGCCAAATACTTGCTGAATAGATTATCAAATATTCTATAAAAAGATTTGTTCTGGTTAGATATATTATAGCCCCAGTTTTCAATTCACAGTGATGTCAAGTGTTTCCTCTTTCTTTTCGCAATAAAAATATTAAAAATATTTATTGCAGATAAATGAAAGTTAAACAAGAATTTTTTTAACTTTAATTTGATAGTTATCCAACAAGCTTATCTGTGATTGACATATACCATTCATATGCTAAAATAATCAGTTGTTATAAAGGATCTTCTCGAGTAGTTCTAATAACATTTTAAAGCTCTGCATAATAGATCTTTTAGTGGACCAAATAAAAAATCACGACAGCATTTTACAAACAAAAAAAAGAAGACAATTTTTTAACGCAGTATACATACATTAGACTACAGAAAGTAAAACAATAACTGAAAAATTACCGCTGATTCTGAAAAATAGCAGGTAGAGCAGCAGACACTGTTTAGAGTGATTAATTTTTCTTTACATTTTATTTCGTCTGTACAAAATACTATAAGCCTTAGAGACTTAAAATCAAGAAAACATGCAGAAAAATGTGCAGGAATAAATGAAAATTTCCAATAATTAGTGCGACTATTTTTGACTGTTAAACTTGCAATAAAAAATATCACTGTGTACAACAGAAAGGCAACTAAAGAGTTGAAATTCGATCAGCTGAAAGACTATTTTCATATAGAAATTTAACATGAACTTTTAACATAAATCTAGTTTTAACAACAGCTTTCTTTTTATTTATTTTTCTTTTGCAAATTTTGTTACATTTTGTTTTGCTGTTCAAAAACTATAAGGCTTAGAAATTTGAAATTTACAAAAGGGAAGTAAAGGGAACAATGGAATAAAAAAATTAAAATTTGATAATTAGTTTGAGAATTAACTTCAAGTAAATAAAAAAGTACAGGCTGTTTTATAGTTCACAGAAATGCAACTACTAATTTAACTTTGCCGGAAGGACCCTTCTTATTCTTAAATTTAAGGTAAGTTTTTTTGTTTCCCTTCAAAATTCTAATTTGTTCAAAAGTTATAGCAATCTTTAGTTTTTTTCACAATTTTGTTTAATTCTTGTTTTTTTATTCATTGTTGTAGAATAATTTACAGAATCCACAAGATTTGTAAATGTATTTTTCAGATTTGCTGAGCATGACCCTTGAATTCATCCTCATAATGTGCTTAAGCAAAATTTAAAAAGTTTCTCTTTTCAGAAGATAACTGAATTCACTAAAAGTCTGAAAAGTCTAGTCAGAATCAAGGAATCTTGCAGGTAGGATTTTACGACTTTGGACTATGCATGTATTTAGTTGACGGCCCTTAATATTCAATTTTTTAAAATTAAATTTTGGCCTTTTTAACTCAAATAAAAAGATGTTGGATCTAAAATATATTTCTTTTGATACCTTAAATTATTTTGAAATCTGCATTAGTGCTTGCAACTCTTTTTCTTTAATCTAACTACAAATAGTGACTATGTAACAAAAACAATGGCTCATGAACTTAAAATAAAAGACTAGTAACTCAAAACTGAAATATAAACATGAAAAAAAAACATGTATATCTATTACAGATCAAAATGGAATTTGTAATTAATTACCTGTAGTAATTTCTTCTGATATTTCATTTTCTCTTAAAGGCTTGTCATATAGATGTAAGTAAACCTAGAAAAATTTTAATTTTTAGAACAAACTATCATAAAAATAAAAAAGTAAAAGAGGTGGGAAAAAAGTTATTAATTATTAAATATTTTTAAAATGATATTTTCACTCTTTCAACAAGTGAATATTACTTAAAGAAAAAATTAAAATTGAAGAAAAAAAATTAGGTTATTTTTTTTTTAAATTTATTATATACAATAAATGCAGCATGCACTTCTTAGACAAATAAATAATTCATAAATTGCATTCATAATGCAATTCATAAATTGCATAGAAAAGTTAACGTTTCTTTAAAAAAAAAAAAAACTATGTAACAAAATTTGTTAACATTGCTAAACTTGTTGACACTTACAGGGATGAGAGTAGTCAGAAAGTAAAAAAGAGGAAATCCAAGAATATATATATATNAATAATTTCCCTCCGCGGAAAATATAAATTCCTCATAAAATATTTTAACTTGTGCAAAAAAAAATTTCAGCGGAAATTAACGGAAAAAAAAGGAAAAATCTAAAAAAAAAAAAAGCGGAAATCCGCGAAAGAATCTCATCCCTGCACTTACTAAAGCATAAAATCAATGTTTCATTTATGTTATCAAAGATGTATTAAAAATTAATATATTTAAATAATATTATAATGACAATGTTCCTACGTAACTTAAAAATAGTTTCATATTATTTCAGGGTTTTACTTAAGGAAAGAAAGAAAAAAAGGCAGTTAACAGTATTTAAGGCTTCATACAATTTTGGTTTTGATTCTAACATTTATAATTAATACAATTTTTAATAATTAAACAGGTATAGGATTAATGATTAAAATAAAATGTTATTAAAATAAATGTTAAATAAATCTATTTAAATTCTCAAATAACAACATCATTTTTTAAAGCTACTATTGGAAGCATCAGTTAATATGGTGAAATTTATAATGGTAGTTTCATAAATAATACGGAGAATTCTTTAAAAACAACAAAAATATTCAGAACATATTTTCAAATGATATTAATGATGTTGTATCATTAAAATAGATAATTATTTGAATCCTCAACGACAATAATCACACAAAAATAGGTTAACTTCAGATAAAACTGAAAAAGAATGTGCTGATTTATAATTTGCAATCATGTTGCTGTTACAATTTTCAACAAGTGCATTTCTGCTTTGAGATATAGAATAGTTTAAAATTTTTTTATAACAGCACAAAAAAGAACAATTTAACAAAATTGATTTTGTGTTAAAATAGAATATATAGAGCAAATTAAACATTTTGAAATTTTTATAGTCACAAAATATTTAAAGAAAAATAGACAAAAGAAAAATTACTTCAATTGCAACTTTGGCAGCTCTAAAGTAAAAAGGATGAGATTGCAGAACATCTTCTAACCTCAACAATCCTACATATGCCCTCAATGTCATTTTCCTCATACAATATGTATGAAAATCAAATTGATCTTCAATAATTTCTGAAAAATGCTAAAAAAGGGAAATGAAAAGCAAAAGTGTTACAAAAAGTGATAATCAACAAACTGGAAGTATAACACAATGATATATATATAAAAAAAAGTGAATTCAAATAATTAGATTAACTAAAGAGCATAAAAATTCTGATAGTCACAATAATTACTTAGATTAAGAGCATTTATACTCATTAAAGATAATCATATCTGCAATAATCATAATAATAAATATTTTAAAAAATTTTTAAAGCACTAGTGGGTTTACATTTTGGAATAGCTTTGAATGATGATTGAAATCAAATCTTAAAACAATTAGTACTTAAATCAGAAACCTTGTACTTAGTGCTAAGTCCCATATTTAGACTTCCGGAAACAGAAACAAAATGTCTATTTTCCGGGCTCTCATAGTAAAATCAAAGTAAACATATGTTTTACTTTCTAAAAAAAAATTTTTTTTCCTACTTCTCACTGCATTTTTCATACCTATATAATTATTCTGCTTCAATAAACATACACTGAAAGAGTTGTTGAAAAGAAAACAGCAGTTTTGGAGGCTATTTTTTTCGATTTTATTTTAATCTGAATATCTGCTAAACTAATTCTTTACATCAAATGGAGTAAAAAAAAAAAATTAAAAAAAGAGAGAAACGTGGCTTTATTCATGAAAAAGAAAAAAAGAAAGCAACTTATCTGCTCACTATCATTTATTTTCAAAAATTGAAATTGGCAATAGTTATCACCCATTTAATTTTTTTTTTCTTCGGAACACTCGTCATGATGCTTGTTTACACCTTAAAAAACTATTATCTGGAAAAATCTATTTTTCAGATTTACCAAAGTCCCTTCGAAACTCGATACAGAATTTTCCTCTGTATATTTCCTTTTCTGTATATTTTTAGTTTTTTTTTAAAAGTGAATTTTACATCAGAATTTCAAATTTTCTACTAGTAAAAAAAGTCTTAAAAAGCAAGTTTTTTTCTGACATGTTCAAGTTAATTACAAAACTACAACAGAAAAAGGAATGAAATATTGGAATAATTAAACATAACAATAACACTTTCAAAAGAAAAACTTACCCTGTCAACTTCATGACATTTCTTAAGAGCATCACCCCACTTCCCTAACCTCTGATATGCTAAAGCACACTCTGTTTGAAACCACATACATTGCATTTCATTCAAGTTTTCCATAGAAGAAACACCCTCCTAATATATATAAAAAAAATAATTTAAAATACAGCTAATATTTATATTTCCAATATAAAAAGCAAATACTTCTACTAAAAAATATTCAAATGAAATTTGAAATTTTAAAAATTTTGGTCACTAACATTGATAGAGGATAGAAATCAAAATTAAAAGGAAAAAAAAAGACTGCAATATTTGATATAAATAAAAGCATGAATGACAAATTTGATAAGGTATGCAAATAAAAGCCAATTAGAACTAGTAATTTACCCGTGTGAATTTGGAGCACATTTCTTCAGCTTCTTTAACCATATTTGCTCTCAACATGTATTTGGCACACTTGGAATTGATATATCGATCTGCAGTGTCTAAGGCTTGGGCTTCATCCAAACAATGAACAGCTTCTTGGATATCGCCCGAGTGCTGGAATAAAAGAATATGTACCAAAATCCAGAAAATTTGCCAATTGAAACGAAACATTTTAAAAATATTTTTCTATTAACAATTCTCATAGATTTTCTAAAAAGAGATGGTCTTACTTATGTCATAATATTTGAACATACACTATCCTACAATAATGAAAATGACACCAAGATCGTGACATTTTTTCAAATTTCTCAAAAAATATTTAAAGGATTGTTTTATAACTTTAGAGACATTTAAGTTCATGTGACTTTTTACACTTAGCAATAAAATTTAAAGTTTTCAGAGGTTTGGAAGACTGTCAATAAATTCCAAAGAAAATAAGCATTTTTGAACAGCCCATGCCAGAAAACCAAACAATAAGCTTGTATTGATTACTTTAGTTATTATTTTTATTAATTGCATAGAATTTCGTAAACCTTGAGTACATATTTATGGAAATATGGGCATTTTTATAACAATAAAAACTATTTTTTTTTTGCTATAACTTTATAAATATTCAATGGAATCAAACAATAGTTTTGGAGCAATTCAAAATCAATTACAAATTTTTAAAAAAAAAAAAATCTCTAAAAACTGTGCAAGATATAAGTGTACAAGGTAGTTATTTTATACTATACACAAGGAAAATTTTTGAATTTTTTTATTCATTTGTGGTGAATTATTTTTGGCAACTAATGAAAAATTTTTTGATTTGAATATCTTAAAATTTTTTTAGCAGTTTCGAAGTGATCAGTTTTCCACAAAATTTTTTTTGTATCATCAGACAAAATTGATAATAAATTACAATAATCGCCTGAAAACCAAAATGTGATGGTATAAGGAAATAGAGTATACTTTTATGGGGGATGCTTAATCTTGTTTAATAGTACAAAATGAAACTTCAGGAAAACCCCTGATCATTTTGAGCTTTCTTTGAAAAAGTAGAAAAACTACTTAGAAAAATGCTTGAAACTTTTTAAATTTTTTAGATACTCAAATCAAACTTTTTCCATTAATTCTCGAATATGATTCATTACAAAAGAAAAAAAGGTTTTACATTTTTCTGCGCACGTGCAGTATAAAAAAGAGCTACCTTAAAAACTTATATATTGTGGTTTTTTTTTAAAAATTATTTTGCAAAATTAATTATATATAATTTTGTAATTAATTTTTAATTGCTTCAAATTTTTTTTTGATTCCATTGAATATTTATAAAAATATAGCAAAACAATTAGCTTTTTATAAAAATGTCCATATCTTCATAAATATTTACTCTAGCTTTACAAAATTTTATGGTTATTAAAAACAACAACTAAAGTAATGGATACAAGTTACAAACTTATTACTTGATTTAACACAGGGTTTCAAAAATACTTATTTTCTTTGGAATTAACATCAGAAACCTTTTAATCTTATGGCTAAGCATAAAAAATCGTATGAACTAAACATATATAAAGTTACAAAATAATTCTGTAAGTAATTCTTGAGAAATTTAGAAAAATGTCAAAAACTCAGTGTCTCTTATTATTGTGGGGTAGTGTAAAAGGCTCTTATCATATGAAATAATTTGATAAATTCCATTTGTAAGCAAAATTGAATGTTAGAATAAACATTAAACACAATAAAAATAACCAAAATGACAACAATTTAATTAACTACACATACTTTCTTGTCTTCTGTTAATTACAAACTCAAACTATCTTTGAGGTAATGAAAGAAGATTTAAAATATTGATTTTTAAAACATGTCAAATTATTTTTTTATTTTGTGTATATGGTCTGTCTTTTTGTAGTACATTGAGTATATTTGCTACTACATGCCCACTCATTTTAAACATTTTCATTAGTAATTAATACATTTCTTATTTTTACTGTTACATTGAATCTATAGTAAATTATTAAAACCTAATTTTCAAGCTACATAATTTAACTTCAAATGACAATTATATTAAATGCTTAAATAAATAAATAATTAAAGTGTTTAAAAAGAGTTTTAAATTTAATTTATGAAATAAAGAGGTTTTATAACTTGGTTTTAAGAGTTTACTCACATTACAAGAAAATTTTTCATGTTTCAAAAGATAATTTTATGCTTTCGAAACATGAATAAAATTAATAATTTCACCTTATTTAGGAAACATTGACAACATACTAATGACATGGAAATATCAGTATTTTGAGAAGCAAAACATTTATCAATTGGGTCAATCAAACTTTACCAACTTTAATTTTGATTGAATATATATTTAATAATTATTTAGACAAACCATTAAAATTTCAGCAGTAAGGTACAGATAAAACACCAAGAGTCAATTAGAGTTTCATTAAATTGAATATACCTCCAAGCTTATAAATTTTTATGGGTGGAAAAATTACCTTATAAAGTCTTGCTTTGCATACAAACAACTCAATAAGGGTAGGAGTATGATCTATTGCAATGTTAATGTATTCTAAAGCTTTTGTAGTTGGACCTACATAGTCAAAATGCTGAGCAAGGAAATAATATGCCCACAGAAGAGCTGTTGCAGGCTCTCTTTCTTTTGAATTTATTTCTGAAAAATTAAAATTGGTACTTTAGTTATATTTTATTTAAAACACACAAAAAATTATTTAGTAGCAATATGGTTACGTGTTAATAAAAATGTAATATAGGTTAATAACAATGACAATTGTGTTAACTGTGTTTATATAAAAAGAGAAAATCTGAAATTAGTTTTTTTTATTAGCAATAAAAGCTGATTGCAGCTTTACTGCAGGTAGTAAAAGGTACAGTACAGTATGTACTGGATTTTTTTAATTTTTTTTTATAAAAAATAAAAAAATAAAAGAAAGCTGAGGTCAAAATCGACAGTAAGAAAGAAAAGAATTAATGTTTGAGAACTAATGGTTATAAAGGTCAATTTTAAAATAAGAATAAAACAAACACTTTAAGGATAAAATAGAATCAAGCATAAGTAGCAAATATTTGAATTTTCAAAACAAACAAAAATCACCTAGACTATTTTGAACAATGAATGAGAATGCAAATAAATTCAAGGATAATTTGTACAGTGTTGGCTATACAAAGCTATTACATAATTTTATTTTGTTAATTAAAAGAAATATAACACACTAATAATACCTCTACTAACCCAATAGAAGATTTAAAAATCTTGACACATGGAATGAATGTAAAAATACAAAGAGATTATTGATTCACAAATCTTTTAGCTCCTCTTGCTGCGATATTTCTTCCAAGCCAAATAAATGACCAAAACTTTATATTGCATTAACTAGTATTTAAAAGAAATAATAAATTATGTAAATGCTGGTACTTACTATCTTCAGTAAAGACATCATGTTTGATCAAGCAATCAACATAACCAAGTACTAAATCCCCAATGATCTTAGCCTAAAATATATTAACATTTAAAAACATGTTTTAAGAAATGTTTTAGGCTGAGAAAAATTGGAGAAAATGTTTACTTTTTCAGGATCTTTGTACAAAGGACGTAAATCTACAAACAAAGGAGGCACACCTTTATGAAGAGCTTTTTGAATATATTTTCCAACTAGTGTTTTAAATAATTCCCCTGGAAATAAGATTTTTAAATTTAGTAAATGGATATTAGATAAGAAATGAATAAAGTCACAATTTTACTTTTTAAAAACACACAATAAGAAGCATTAAGATGTAAAACATTAATTGCATAATAAGGGTCAAACACAAATTTTAATTTAAACACAAAATTAGTTATAACTCAATAAATGTAATATAATAATAAGTGATGACTTTCCACTCTTCAACCATGTGCAAGAAATATACTTCACTTAATTTAACTTAATTCTGTAGCTGTTGGTTCAAATTTATTAAGTTTTAGTTAATTTTTATTTTTTTAAATGATCATAAATTGAAATACTAATTAAGAAAGTAAATACATATTTAAAATTTTTGACTAAATAATATTATCATACCAAAAAAAGACTACGTTAAAAATGAACCTTGAATAGATTAGGAATAGGCATTTAACTAAAAGTATATAATCAGTGACATAACATATTGTGTCCAAAGCATTAAACACACAGCGTGCAAAGTATAAGAACAGAACTTAATCCAAATATCTAGCACAATGCTTAGAATGCATTACATTTTAGAATCGGTTTAAAAACTTTTCCTTCAAAGAAAATCCTCCGAAAATAAATGCTTTTAAAACAGATCTGCCGTAAACCGCCTCCAATAATTTCAATTAAATGGATTCATGCAAGTAATCATTAATAACTAGAACTGGCCAAAAATTCACGGGTGTACTTAGCATAATATTTGACCACAATTCACAGTAAAGTATTATTCATTCAACGCTGTATAGAAATTGGAAAAATCTTTATTTCTATAACACGGACTGCAAACTCCTTCTCTAGTTTTGTTATATGTGACAATTGTTTATATATGTCCCTGGTAATTTTTTAACAAAAACATTTTTCCTGATCATATGGTAAATTGGTTTTAAGCAATGGTTAAAGGTTTTTTATTTATTTTATTTTATTAAAATTTAAAATGTGATATATATGAGAAGTAAATGGAAGAAAAATTAACAGTTAAGATAAACACCAATGAAAATTCTGAAAAAATCCACATATCTACATTACTACACTACATATCTACACTCTCTACAAAAATATTGTATTGAAAACCGAACACAAAGAGAAAGTTACTTTTCTTAGTGAATGTGAATAAGAAAACAAAATAAATAAGATGAAAAAGTCACTACAATTAAAATAAAGAACCACTATTATTAAAATATCCATGCACAATGCACAAAATAAAAAATGGACTATCCTAAATTGCTTTTGATCTAATGACTGAATCTTTATGTTCTAGGACTCAATCAATGGCTCGAAGGGGTTTCCTCAAATATGCTAAATAATTGGTGTAAACGATATTTTAAGTTACAAAATCAGACACTAAAACGTACTTTCTCAGAATAAACATACTTTTCCCTCCGACAGATTGGGATTTCTGATCCCAGAAATATAACAGGAAGTCACACTCTGGGAAATATGATTTTAAGTTTAAGCCCCTTAATGTTAATTTTGCTTTTCGCATATTTCACCATATCTCAAGAACTTTTTAAAAAAAATTTTGCAAATAATTATAAAACTTGATTATCCAAAGATAATTCCGTGCAGAAATAAGTATACTAATATTGCATGCATTATCTAAAAGTATACTAATATTAAAAAAATGAAATGAAATGAATGAATCAAAGGGTTTCAATGTCAAAATTTTTATACGCAACACATCTAGCATTTACTATAATACATAGTATAATACACCTCAAAAAAAATTTTGAGTTTTGAATTATTCTTTAAAGACTTGTTACATTTATTGAAGTGCATTGAAAAGATTTGGGACATAATTATGTCAGCAAAACAGCCTTGAGAATTTTGAATATTGTGTAAAAAAAAAAAATTGTGAGAAACAAATAATTAGAAAAAAAGAAATTCGAAAGTTTTACTCTTCAGTATAACCTATAATTAATTACCTGAGGTAAAGTCTAAAGGCCTTCGTTGAGGAGTTTGAGCTCTAGGAAACTTTTCTTGGAACTCAGTGTAAATTTTCATTTTTTCTTCGATAGTTTCTATGTTTCAAACAAAAAAAAATATTAAAAACAGAAAAACATTAATTTAAACACACTAATTCATATAGATTTAAACAAAATCAGACCTGCTTGCATGGCTTTTTCCAATTCCTTATAATACAAGTGGTTTTCAGGATTTCGATGAAGTAATTCTATGTACAATTCCTTGGATTCTTTCATGTGTTTTAAATTTAAATGCAGCTTTGCTAAAATGAATTTTAGAGTTAGATTTTACTTTGGATTTATTGTAAAACACAAATATTTAATACAAATTATTTTGATAAAACTAACCTTTGGCTTCCATAACACTCAATTTATCACAAATTTGTTCTTCATATTTGTTCAAATGACTAAGAGCATCTTCTAAACTATCAGCTTCTCTCATAACCATGTTTTGATAAAGCAGAAGTTCACTATGTTCATAATCATAACCACGTTTCTGTTTAGAAATAACACAAATTAATTTATAAACAAATGAAGAGTAGAACACAAAAGCTATACACATTTTTAAATAAAAAATTCAATTTTCAAAAGGAACGAAGTTAGGTAGTGATAGGAAAGCAAAAATAAATATGTATAAAAGATAGGCAGCCATTTCAGAACTTAATTACTAAATGTTCTAGCTTCGAAAACGACTGCCTTTCATACCTGTTTATTTGAAATTAAAATATTGTTTTACTATTACTTTAATTCATATATTACCTCATCAAAATAAAGTGTAATAAATTAGGATTATGCTGTGTTTTATAATGCAATATGTTTGAATCACAACTGGAAGCAGAAAACATAAAAATTAAGAACAAAATTTCCTCCGAACTTAAGGACAATTTAAGAATGCTGATTCTCTAATGGAAGCAAATTGAAAAACACTAACATGGATTTGCAGATATACAATTGGTAATAGTTTTAGTAATTTCTTGCAATTTTTCAAAAAAGTTATGCAATTTTTTTTTTTTAAAGAAAAAAAAGGGAAAAAGTCTAAACAAGAAAATTGTTAAATAGTAGCAAAATACGAGGATTTTCTCATGAGAAACAGTAGAGTATGATATAGTGATGGGGCAGAGAGTAGAGAGATAATACATGCACACAAAACAACGTAATATATATATTTCCTTCATGTCGAATGTTTTTATGCCATCAAATCAAGGGTAATTGTCTTTAACACTGGAAACAGATTAATACCTTACTTAACAGGCTATGAAGACTCTGTTGAACATTTTATTACATACTTTGTTTCATGGCAAATAACGTAATTCTTAAATTCATAAAATTCTTCAATTCTTTTTTTAGATAAATATTTATGCTTCTTGCTCACTTAGAAAAAAATTTCAGGATTTTTATTGAAATGTTTAATATTTGAGGATATTTGACACTTTAAAAAAAAAAAGGAAATTAAGGAATTAAAGGAGAGGAGCCCTGGTTTGAGCATCATGAGATAGAGAATAGTTTCAAAAACAATTCTTTATTTAATATAAAGAAAATCATTTTGAAGAACTATTTTTCAAATAACACTTGAGATCGTAATACGTTTCATCGGTATATAACATATGATGGCAAGTTCCTTCCGCAGAAGGAAAATCATAAAAAAATATATATATATATAATTTAAAAAAAACTAACCCAGAAAAAGCATGTTTTTTCCTACTAAAAAAAATTAAAGAAATTTTTTTTGTCATAAATAAATATCAAATATTAAAACATTAATTTCTTAAGTATTAACAATATCATTTTTAAATAATTGAATGCCTACACTAGTTTAGTATCAAACACAAATATTTGATAAAATAATCTTATTACCAATTCATTTTTCAATGCAGGGTAGCTATATATACTATCGATAGCAAACAAAACATGAAGATTGTAGTACTGTTAAACCAACCATCATAATATATATTTTTTTCACTATTATCCGTTATTCAAGGATAGGATAATTTATAAAAAATATTTTGGTATCATTTAGAATTTAAGCAGGATTTACATAATGAGTATTAACCATTTCTAAAAAATTACTTTTAATATAAAGAGCTTCACAATTGATAATTTAAATACTTCTAGCAGAAAATTATAATCCAAGATCATATAACACACTTTATAACAATTAAAATAAGTAATTAGTATAGATGCAATCATGAACTTAATAAGTAAATACCATAAATGCACTCACAGTTTGCGTTTTCCGAAACTCTTCGAGTATTTTTAATGCCATCTCGTAATCTTTTAAAAGATGATATGCCATTGCAAAACCTATCCATGACGCCCTCTGTGTTGGCCTTGATATAAATAATTGATATCTTGTATCCTTGAAAAAAAATGAAGAAAATTAAAAAATATTTATTGATGTAAAATAATAAACTATTTAGATGACATATACCAGGGTTCATTGACCTATGAAATAAAATTTCAAAAATACTATAACTTTAATGGATTTTTCAAAAGGCAAACTAAGAACAAAGTGGAAATTTAATGCAGCAATTGAATATGGAAGTTTTTTTTAATAAAAGATAACTTTTATTTATAGCTGGTTTTTCAGTAGTAACAATGATACATTTCTATTTCACTTTTTTGCATTTATTAAACAATTTTTAATGCAGTAATATAGTTTGAAATAATTTTTTAAAAACTACTTTTAAAAAAGGCAAACAAACCAAAAAAAATTTAAAATTTTCTCAACTTAACAAGCCTTTACCCACCCCCATCTTTTTTAGGTTAAAGTTCTAATTTGTGTTCTCTTGATACTTTTTGTACTTAATAAACTATTGATGTTACAGTATTAGTGGATAGTACAATACTTTAGTAAAAAAGGTAAAAAGTAAAGGGATTGTTTTATTAGATCAGGAGAAATATTTGATGCTTTTTGGAATTTTTCCTTAAAGCAATAAAAGGATAAAATTTGTGGTTTTGAGTTCGTAATTTTAAACTGATGAAAAACAATTTGGGGGACACTAAAAATTCCCTTTAACTTAAATAGCATAGAAACAAAGATACTTAACAAGAATCTAAAAACTGTTTACTATTTAAATATCTTTCAAAAACTATTTGTAGAATTGTGTAGGCATAATTTGTGAGAAAATATTAATAGAGAATCTTAAATACCACTTCATATCTAAAATTCTGATAAGGTGACTGACTTATATTTCACATGCATCAAAAGATACTGCCAAATAGAGTACAACAAAAATCCATCATCAGTTTAACTGTAAAAATCAAATCCCAAAAATAAGCTATTTTTAATTTCAGAGTTACTATTCTATGCAGAAAATTTACTCAGTTTTAACATATTTACTAATGGAGCACTGAATAACTCATGTTTTTAGATCAATAGATAGAAAGATAGGTTTTGAGATCAATAAATAGAAACCTTTTATAATATTATTGATTTAAAGAAATAACCAGTATCAATAAGTTAATATACTTTCATACCATTAATTAAAATTAACAATCTAAATCAAGTCTTTCTAATTCAAATCACTTTAAGGTAAAGTTTTATTAATCTAAAGCAAAGACAGAGTGAATGTGCTGCCCAATATTTTTGATCGCAAGTAAATTAGAGGATCATCCCGTAATTCACCATTTAAAAACTCATTGAACGCTGTAAATTTTATTAATTGCTGTTAAGCGTATGACACCTGAATTAATCACCATAAAAATTTGATAGCATAAAAATGTTAAATGAGTTTCTTTTGCATTAGATGGCTGAAGATCTAAAAAGTTTGAAACAATAAATCCGCAGGTCAGTATATGTCCGAACCAGGTTTAATTAATGGATGATGCATAAAATAGTTTGAACTATCAAATTTAAAAAATTTTAGCAGTATGTAATGATCTACAGTTAACATAAAAAGAATAAATTTTAAAAGGACAAATATTTTAAAATCAGCCTTTGTATTTTTAGAAAATAGGAACACAAAAAAAAAATCATGAACATCAGAACAAAAAGCTAAAAATTCAGACATATTGGATCAAAATAAATTTTATCAGGTAAATCAGAACAACTCCGACCCCAGCTGGTAACATTCAACACACAGCATAGTAATTGCTTGTTTCTTATTCAGACATTAAACAAAGCCTTGATACAGGTGATCAATATGAAATAATGATCAATTCAAATTATGAATAGAAATAACAAGGATAGCACAATTTAGCAAGAATATACTTCTCCCTTAAACAACACAATGGTACGTTCACTATGAAACGAAGCAAGACTTGAACATTAAATTATGCTTCGAATTATGCAAAAAGGCGACTATTCATATTAAAAATGATGATGTTAAAAATTTTATGACCTAATAATAAAATATGCATTTTAACAATATAAATTTTTATATACATAAAACTTATATCACATAACATCGCTTTAGCTCTTAAAGGTTTGAAAAATTATTTGAAGGATAAACTAAATATTGTGTGAAAAAATAGATAACAGTAAAGAAAAAATGTACAATGCACATTTTATGCTCAGATTTATGTCAATTAAAGATAAGCTTAACTTTCAGTTACGGTAAGTAACATTTGTTTTTAGTTTATAGATTTAGTATAAATATCTATAATAGTTTTACTAATACTGTCAATAAAAATCTTGTATTTCAATAGTACAATATTTTCCAATTTAACTTCTCACTAATATTTTCTTTTAAATATTAATCAAATTTCTAATTTTAGCAAATATCTGGTTATTTATATAAATTAAACAAGGCATCAAAATTGTAACCAATAATTTCAATCATTCAATTCAAATAAATTCATTTCACTTGATTTTTTGAGTATTTTAATTAAAGTCCCTCACATTTCTCTGTTCTAGATAGAAACTATGAAGATATTTTAAATAAAAGTGTATAGCATGAAGATAAAGGGAAAAAAGTGTATTTTTGAGTGGATACTGGATTTGAATACTGCAGAGACAGTAAGTAAAGTTTTGAAGATTACAACAGTGCTTGAAGCAATACCGAAACAAGCTTTCGCTGACAGTTTCTAGCAGCTCTACGACTAAAATCAAAGGTGAACTGTAGTCATTAATAATCACATTATATGCTAATAAAGGTAGCAATTTGTCTTGCTCCCTTAACTTTAATGGAACCATCACAGAATTCTATTATTTTATTCATTTTAAAATGAAACAGAACTACAAAAAAGCATATATAACTTACTCTATAACCTTCTAAATCTCTCATCTGGATTTGAAGAAGAGATAAATCTCTGAGAATTTGAATATTATCCTAAAACATAACAAAATAAGCATGAAAACATAATATATAGCTAATATAAATACTTTTTGAATTTATACACAAAGTATACACAATAGAAATAAAATGTTATCAATTTAATGATTAGTACACAATTTAAACTGACAGAATAACTGAGGAAAATGTTAAAATTAAAATGAGCAAAAATTAAATTAGCAATAAATCAGATTACTACAACAATGTTTATGATAAAATTTTTAATAACAAACACTTTACAAGACGTAATTTGGAATTGAATCAAAACATAAATCCATAATACTTAAAATGAGTTTCTCTTCAATAAAACTATCATAAAAGATGCCCAAAAAAAATTATTAGCAAAATGCATGCGCTTAAAAAAAAAAAAAAAATTAATGGACAACTTTGCACATAGAATACTAATAAGAAATTAAATTAAGTTTTAATTCTTAGCCAGTTAGCACCAGTCAGTTTTGATAATTGTTAAATAGTGTATGAATGTGTCCTATACTTCTCTTCCAATGTGATAAATATTTCATAACACTGTTCATGAATTTTATTACATTTCGACAACCAATTAAGAAAAAAAAAGTTTGTCCACATACAATAAGAATCGGACCAGATGCTTTTTCCTTCAAAGTTCATGTGTTTACTTTTCACAAATAAATAAAACCTATAACAATATAAAATCAAAAGAGTAGTATTAATTTCAGGATAAACAAAACTTACTTTATCCCATTTCAAAGCATTTCTGTAGCATTTAATTGCTTCATCATACTTCCTGTCAGATCTTTGTAGCAATCCAAAAACATGCCAACCTTTTTAATTTTAATTAAGGATAAAGAGCTGAAAAGACTTACGCTAAACTAACAACAAATACAAGCCAGCATACAAATGTATAAGACATCAAAATGTTTACAAAATAACCATAATTATGAGTATTCTAGGAAAAATAATATAATTTTTTCAGTATTTGGCCTCTCTTCCTTCCTCTGCTAACAGGATTTACATAAATTCCAACCTTACAGTCATTGCATCCCCTAATGCAGTGTTTCCCAAACATATGACTTTTGTGTACCCTTTATACATTTTTCGCGACGCTGTGTACTACTAATAAAAAATTAATGTATTTTTTATTATAAAAAAATTTCACAAAAGTTTAACATCACAACTGGCTGCTCACACAACTAGTTATTAACTGTTAACTCTGCAAAAAATATCCAATAGAAAAATATGTAATCGTAAATTTTCATGGCTAGCTTTGTTTTTTTTTAAAAAAAAATTTTTTAAATTTTCGTTTGTTGCACGATATCTCGCATAAGAACGCATACCCCGCTAAACCGTTCTCGTACCCCTGGGGATACGCGTACCACACTTTGGGAAGCACTGCCCTAATGCTTAAAGTGATGGTAAAATAACAATTAAAATAGTTTTAACTTGATAAATTTTGTCAGCACTCAAAATCTTTAATTACCTGATTTACAAGTCTTATTTCTAATGAATACTAAAAACATTTTTCAGCTTACATTGCACATAAGATCTAAAAATAATTTTTGATACAAAAAATGGCAACATATTTAAACAAAAAACATTCTCAAGGCCAAACATTATGTAATTTAAAAAGATTTGCATTCATTGTAAAAATTGTGACCTGAATAAATTTTTTTTTCGTATTTAAATAGTAAATTTTTAATTCACAATATACAAATTAGCACTTAGAAGGATACACACATGGCTAGTTAAATCATTTCTTAGACCCTTTCTTACATACTCATAAGCCTCATCCTTTCTCCCTAAACAGTTAAGAGTAAGACCTTTCATAGCAAGTGTTTCTGAAAAACAAAATTGAATAAAACAATTTTATTACACAATTATAATTTTATAATTCAAAAAGAAGAACAAAAAGAAAACTTAATAAAGCAATGGTTAAGAAAGTTTTACTTTGCCTTTAGCAAAAATATTTTTATCATTCAAAATAGTGTACTGTTAAAATTTTATAAATTATACTGTTTCAAAAAAATAAATAATGATAATAAATTTTAATACAAAAATCTAATTATTTGATTAGGCTGATCTCTTGAACCATTTGAATATTGTATTTGAAACCAGTGCATAAAAAAGATAATTAAAAAAATAAGTAAATAACATTAATTTGCTGTTAACAATTGTAACGCATTTGAACTAAGTTGGAGCGAAATAAATACAAACTTTCTTTTACTGTATCTGCACATAATACTTCAACAATACAAAATTAACTGAAACATAAGTTAGGCAAAAAGTAAAATTTTTTTAATTTTTAGCAGTTTTATTGCAATTTTCTGAAAGCACATTTTAGGAACATATTAGAGCACAGCACAATGATATATTCAGAACAGGTCAAGTAGAAAGTATATCATATTCCATTTTTCTTTTTAATATGTTATTCTTTATAATTTTATACTAAGATAAATTTTTGTCTTTAAAAAGAGTGTCAAACAACACACTTCATTCTTTTTCTAGCCAAAAGTAAATAATGTGAGTCTGTATATATACTACCAAAAATTTTTCAGTAACTTTTTCCTTAACTTCAAATTATTACCTAACTTGCTTTAAGATACACAAACTTGCCATTTCAACATATTTCATTTTCAAGTAAAAGATTAAACTTCTTTGGAAAATTCATAATTAATGACATAATGCATTTAGAAAATAACTTGCAAAGGAAAAATGAATTCCCATTTCTAAATTGCTCAAACAGAAAAATATATGGGATATATGAATAAATTATAAAACATGTTGCCTTTAACTTTGTTTTCAACAGAAAAATAAATAGTCCAAGTAATGACTATACATAAAAATACTGATTAAATTCACAAAATGAATACAGTATAAAAATAAAAGCTATTACGGACAAAAAGAGCCTTATTTACTTATCACAAATGCAATAATTGCAAAACTGCTTATAAGAAAAACTCAAAAGACTTAAGATTTTATAAAATAATAACAAAATAAAATCTCATAAAAACTTATATTAAAATTATTATCAAAATTACAAGAATTTATAATTAAAAATTAATACCTCCATGGTCACAAAATTTGGGATTTGTCAAAATTTGCTTTGCAAACTTTAACCCATTTTTATACTGCTTATGTTCATAGCATTTCTGAAAACAAGATCACAAAAATTAACGATTCATTTATACATCAAAATATACCTAAAAAAGATATTAAGTGCTTAACAAAATTAAAAAAGTCATGTAATTAATATAGATTGAAGAAAATTTTATTTTAAAATATATAAATCTTTATGAATAAAAATAATAAGCAAAAGAAATTGAGAAGATAAAACAAGAGTCCTCATGTCTTTCCCTCATGGTCCTTTCATCAATCTTCATCATCAAATTTAGGAGTAGTTTATTATTTAAATAATTTATTTTTACTCAGTTTTGTTATATGACTTAACTATTTCACAACAGTAATTCAATAAGTTGAGACATTTTTAATTCCTCTAGTAGATGTAGACTTATCAATAACCAACAAATTTAGTGAGTCCAAATATTACATTCTGTAAAAATCCAGTCTATCCCAACGCCTATATTTGCCACAATCATAATTGACAAGATTTAAAAGATAACTATTTTTCAATACAGATTAATCAAATATATTATTTTAAAAGAAATTATTTTCACTAAGTTTCGCAAGGTAAGATATTTATATTGGTGCCTACAATGAAAACAGATAAAAAATATAAAAAATTTCAGAATTTGGAAAACTGATAGCCAAAATCAGATATGCCACAATACATTTACATTTTTAAATTCATTACACGTAGCATATTGTGTAAAATATTGTACAATACCGGGATTAATAATGACACAGCCTTGGGGCAGAATTTTTTTCAGGCTTTCTGCAACAAGTCTCTCAGCACTAATATCTTTCTGCAAGATACTTTTAATAAAAACAAATATATATGTCACTAATTTAAGAGAACAAAAGCATTGTGTTTACAACAAAAAAAAAAACCTATTTGTAAAAAATAAATCATAATTTTTTTAATAGAATATGTAATATTTTTTTATTCTAATATTATGGGAAATATTCTTTACAGGGGAAAAATGCATTAATTATTTCCCTTTTACGCATTTGTGAATTATCACCAAAAAAAAACTACATAAAAATTGAGAAATTCGTTGCAGAAATTACCGAAAAAAAGACAACAGAATCATAAGAATTGGGAACTCTTTAAAAAGGAGTTAATCAAATGAGTTTTTTATATCGAGATTCGTTTGTTGTAATAAACATTGTATTAGAAATATCAGATTTTTAAAAACCATGTGAAAATCAATATCAATAATAGTAAAAATAAAATTTAAATACTATGGATTTACAGTAATATTGGTGTAAATTGAACTTGATTCAGAAAGTTATTATTTAAATGTGAGATTCAAATTGTTCATGCAGAAATATGATATGAGAAATAGCAGGAATTTTAATAACCACATGCAAATCGATATCGCTAACAATAACTGCCAAAAAATGATGAAATTGCATTAAAAAAGTAAAGTATCAAATAAGTGATTTCAGTTTCCTGCATTATAAAATTGTTGAAGAAAACTTGAAGAATTTTTTTTTTAATGTGGAAATTTGCAGCAATAAATGTCGAAAAAATTACTGAAACACCATACGGATCAATGATAATACTTGTTATAGTGATTTCTTGAATCCGCAATTCAAACTTAGCGTGAAGTAATAATTTTGGCATTTTTTTAAAAAAATCATGAGAATATCAATAGTAATTGAGCAATAAAATACCACACTGGAATTTAAAAAAGAAAAACTTAAAAATTTGTAACAATAATTTCAGAAAGAAAAAAAAATAATAAAAAACTACATATATTTACATGGGAATCAATGTGACTTGCGAGCGATAGAATAAAATCCACAACTTAAAATTTTCATGAACGTAACACTATTTAAAATATTTTATTGATGCAGATAATATCTGATGGTGCAAACAAAGTTCAAGAGAAATTCATAGAAATTTTAAGCCTAACTTAAAAAAAAAATTAGGACAAAATTTTTATTATTAAAAAGAAAAAAAATTGTGGCATGCGAAAAAAAAAAAAAACTCCATGTACAAATTCTATTAATTTAGAAAATCAACTACAAACATAGTAATAAATTTGATTTTAAACACCAATTTTAATTGCATGAAATAGAATTTTAAAAAGCAATACATACAAAAGTCAAAATAGTAAGAGAAAATTTAAAATCCAAAAAGGTGAATATTTTTAAATCTTTCAATAATTCCAATATAATTTATTAAAAATATTTATATTTCTTACATAAAAAGAATGCATGACCTTCCACAATATACANAAACATAATTTAAAAGAAAAAGATATATGGGCAACACTAGGTAATAAATTTTGATAAATATTTAATGAAATGAAATATAAAGAATTGTTAAAATCATCAATCTAATGTTTAATTCAATGCATAACTTAATTTATAATTTTAAGAAGTAAACTAAGATTTATCAGTGGTAACATAGCTAAAGATCATTATTAGATTTTAGAGCCTCACAGCTACTTTGAGAAAGTTAAATATTTTGTAATGTATTAAAATAAAGGTATTTCCAGATACCGCATATGAAACATAATGCATGTCCAGTAAAAATAAGAAAAGTAATAATGAAATCGCTTAAATAATAATGATGACGCTCAATATTAGTTTGGTTTCTAATGTAGTTATTTTTACAATGTAAATCAATGCTCCCTAGCTTCGTTTTCAATAAAATAAATAAACCGATTCGATGCTTATGTATATCATAATAAAGGAGTGGGAGTTATTCTTCAAACATTAACCAATTGCACAGTTGATCGATAGAGAGTAATATTTTATGTGTTTATGGAATGTCACTTAAATAGATTAAGGCAATCTATTGTTATTTTGTATTTGCAGAAATTTTGTGGTTGCTATTTTATGAACTCTACATTTCTTCAAGAAATATTTGATACTTTAAGGTCAAAACTTCCGCTATCTGCTTACCAAAATGCGCTTAAATAATGTATTCTCTTTTGGAGGCAAAGGCTGACTTGGAGACATTATTGTTTTCATGCAAGATGTGTGATTTATTTAAAAATTTTATGTATGTATTTACATGTACTTTAACGCCACACTCGTGTCACAACCGCGTGGTTCTCGAACCCAAAATGGCGTTGATATAAACTTGAAAAGAAGTTGCCAACAAAGTTCAATAAACAGTTGTTTGTAAAAATTTGCAAAATAATTACTTAGATACATTTGGCAACACACTTGAAATAAAAAAAAAGGAAGAATTCAAACCAGGACAAATTCAAAAAGTTCCGATTAATAAATTTTTAGAGCTAAACAAATTTGCAGTGCTTCATTATTCATTAATAAGTTAACCACTTTTCAGTTATGAATTCAATATGTGCAATAACGTATTTCTCTTCCCTTTTTTTATTGGCCAATAAAAATCACATGATTTAAAGTAACCAATATCATACCAAAATATCATACCAAATAAAGTACCAATACATAACCACAACGCAAATGCGATGTGCGTATGTAATGTTAGTCCAGATTATGTTTTCAATAAGAGTTACAAGCAAAAACGTTTTATAGCTATAACTGTAATAAGAAGCTGCTCCTGACTCAACAAATCTTGGAAATTGGTTTTTCTTGTTAGTGGGTCTATATATTCTGATATTTTCTGCCTAAATAAAAATGTCGCGCTCTTTTTCAGTCATTGTTTTATGCCCTAATGGCAGACGAGAAACTGTAAAAACAAGTTCAAACAGCAGTGTGTTACAGGTAAATATTAGACGCGAATTTTTGTTTTGCTTAAAACAATAATGAAATTTTAAAAAATATCGTATTTGCGACAACTTTCTGAAAGTATAATTTTTCTATGAAATAAAGACCTAATTTAAATTTTGAAATAATAAGTTTAGATTATATTATTCAGGCAAAAAAAGAAATTATGAAATTCTTAGAGGAAAATACATGTATTCTCCTTTATGAGTTTTATATTATATAAAAGATTTTATTCCGTAATTTTCTAAGAAACAAATATCCTTCTCATGAGTTTCTCAAGAAAAATAGCCATCCAATTGAAAAATCACATGTTTAACTTTGATGTATGTTATTGGGTTCTAGTTCTTAAGTTCCTTATCATAGGTGACATCAATGAGGACAGTTGTTGTTGCTTGTAGGGGGGATAATGCTAAAATAGTATTTTCAAAACTGTTTGAAGCGAAGTGGTTGAAGTTACAATTTTGAAACTTCTTATACTATTACAAAATTATATATAGATTTGTGGGGATTTAATTATAGACTATGTCAACCTTCATCTATCAAAAGGTACCTCAAGATAGAATCAAGTTAGCATGTCTTATATACTAGTGAATTGGTATTCAATATTTATAGTGGTAGTTACGCCACATTACTCCCCTTCGAGAATTTTATCCATGATAGAATTCAATGAGCAGATAGATACCACTAGTTGATTCATGCTGTTTATTTATTTATATCAATTTTGCTCATTATATATTTTTTTCCTTCACTTTTTTTAATGCATTTCTTTCCTTATTATTTTTTTTATGGCATTTCGTTCATTATTTTCTTTTCTTTATTGACCGGGAGACTATTTACTTCACCGGATTTTTTTGTAGGGGCTTACAAATAGTGAGAAGATGTGGAAAACGGCATAGTTGCCAAATATCTACATAGTTGTTATATTTCTATATAATGCCCTTATTAATCAAACAAACTTGTCTTTGTAGGTTTGTTCCCCATACAACTTCACCTTTTTCAACTTAAAGAATCCATTTAGCGACTTATCCTTGACCAGTTAAAATCTACCTATAATACTTGAAAAATTGTAAAAATTAAACAAAAAATTTTTTGAAGATTTAACTTTTCAATTTAAATATTTTTTTTCTGCTTTAGTTTTTTTCTAGGTCATTCCAAACCTAACCACCAAATTTCGAAAGATAGCTGCACCCTTGTTGCTAGACTTAGATAAAATGAAAAACTTCCTGTGAGCACAAAATCTAAATTGTAAAACTTTCTGCAAACTATTGATCAACTCTTGTAATTAGTTTTAGCCCTTTCATTGTAAATTCATTTTGGCGAAAGTTGATTGAAAATCATGAATTTTTTAAAAAATGTTTTAATTTTTATAAAACACTATATTGATTCATACCATTGGGATGAGTTAGATAAAAAACAGAGAAAGCTGGAAATAGAAATCCGAAAATGTTATGTGCAAAAAACACTTTTTGAAAAAAAAAACAAAAAAATTCAACAAGAAAAAGTGTATGTAAGAAACATTTATCCTCAGAATGTTATCAACATTTTAATAAAAATATTGATGTGAGAATTATTTAAATCGTGTGAATATGTATATCAATGTGTGATTTTTAAAGCACGTAAATACAAATTTCGATATTTAATTTAAAAAGCGTGTGAAAATTAATCTCAATGTGTGATTTTAAAACAAATTCCCTACATAATTTTTAAGTCACTTGAATATGAATCATAATAGTGGCTTTTAAATCGCGTGAATACACAACTCTATATTTGATATTAAATCGTGTAAATATGAATCACGATGTGTGGTTTTAAATCATGTGAACACGAATTGCGATACATGATTTTAAATCATGTGAATTTGAACCCTGATATGTGATTTTAAATCAAGTAAATGTAATTGTAAATCACATTTGCAGGGGTCTGTCTAGGTTTTTCTGAGAGGTACCTATTTTGTGAAAATTTAGACATAATTTGTGAAAAATTAAAAATTATATTTAAAAATCCAACACAATATGGCAAGAATATAGATTTATCATTTCTTAAGGAATACAAAAATAAGATTTTAAGAAAAAGTATTTTGTGAAACTACCGTTTTTCCTAAAATTAAATTTGTAAAACTACCATTTTTCCTAAAGTTGAATTTGTGATGGTACCGCTAAACGGTAGTAAATTCAGTGTAGACAGACCCCTGATTTGCATAGGTCAAAAAAAGCATAAAAGCAGGGTGCGTAGCATTTTTTAAAAGTGCTTATTCTACATTTTCATTTTTTAAAAGCCCTAAAGGTGCTTTTCTCAATGAGTGTTTTTAAAAAGTGCTTAATTTTCCCTTTTCCAAAATGATATATTTTTTCTTTACCATGTTGATTTTCGCCACTAATTATGCAAAAAGACCTTTTCCTAGTCTATGTTTTCACAATTAATTCAAAATTCAATCCAACTCTATTTTGGCATACCTTTCGGTCCTTAGTGTATGAAAACACCATTCGTTTTACATGTTTGATTAAATACTTGCGGTGCCATATGAGATGAATTGAGTAGGAAGGATTTTGGTCTCTCGTGTGCAACTCTGCTGCATTTTGCAAGAGATTCTAATTTCAGACTTTATTTTCCGCCCTCTGGAATCGAACCAACAACGGGGATCTACTAAACATTGTCAATTTTTTTTTCTCTAATAGCAAGAGAACATTTTTTTTCTCTTGTTAATTTTATCGTTGGTGACGCGCCATCGTCTTCGTCACTGGCAAGCTAATAAAACCATTATTTGTCAAAAACTTGCCAACCCTGTCTAATTATATTTTTAAAGTGCTTGAAAATATTTATGTGCTTAATAGGTGCTTATTTTTTGTTGAAAAATTTGGCTATGCACTCTGAAAAACTATTTCTTCTCAGAAATTTGAAAATGACAAACCATATTTAAAAAGGCGAATTTTTTTTCATTAAATTGAAAAAATTCGCCTCGACTCCAAAATGCCTGAAAGTGAAATGCAGTGAAGTAACCACGGGAAAAGTACGGCTACATGAAGTAGAGAAAAAAATTCTCGTATTTATCTTGACCAGATTGACCTGCATGTTAGAATAAGAGAATTTTATTGATGGGGACAAGTTTTCGTATATTATATATATCTCCTGTTATCGTATATTATACATATCTGCTTGTTGCATAATTTTTAAATTATTTCTGCATAATTTATAGGGTCCTAATTAATACATAAAGTAATATGCATTAATAAAGTATTTACCTTAAATGGGAGTTAAATTTATGCTCTTTCACTCTCGATTGATAATACTCGGTCTTCTGATGTTCAAATCTTGTTCTCATAAATTTTTATTATACTCTCTCGGTTTAAAGAGTTAGATAATTTCCTTACTTTTGTTATGTTGAATTTTTGTGGTTTTTCATGTTAAGCATCAGATCTTGTAAATATTTGTCCGAATATGTTACCAATGTAAATATCAACCCTCAAAATTTTATTACTATGTATTTAGGAATTTAAAAAGTTGCCTCTGAAAATACAGTATCCAATATTGTTAAGTCAGTAAGATGGGCAACAACTTAAAAAGGACTAGTGCAAACTCAAAAAAATAATTAGTAACAGAGCTAAAGAGGTTATAAAAAAGTAATTAATCATAATTGTCCTTCTGAAATAATATTAGGAAAACTAAAAGGTTAAATAAGAGCTTGTTCAGCGAAAAAATTTGTAAGAGAACTAAAATATAGGATAAAATACATTACTATACTTTTAATGGAGGATAATTTATAGTGTTGCTAAAAATTGGCATCTCCTGTATTATCATTTATCTTTTTTCATCAAAAATAATAATAAATATATCAAATAGTAATATTACAAGTAGTAATATTACAAGTTCATATTCCTTTTCACTCTGAATTGAAGCATAGGACTTCTATCATATCTTTCCATCTCACTCTATTTGTGGCCAGGAAACCTGGGTCAGTGAGTCTATTTTTTTTATCTTATTAAAAAATTATAGATTTAGTTTGATTTTTTCTTAATATACATCTCACCATTCATGATTCTTTTAAAAATATTCTGTTGGTAAATTTTTATATTAATTTTTGAAAAGATTTTTGAAGAGTGAACCAGTGCACTCAGAGCCTGAGGTACCTTGATGCACCTCAGGCAGCGAATTAGATAAAGTTATACAAATACATTTCGAAACAATATTGACAAATAAATATTATCTAATTTATTAGTATTTTTAAAAAAATGAATTTTTTTTTAAAGTTAATAGTTTAATAAAAATAGGTCTTTAATTGTGAAAATAAAAGAGAGTCTTAGCACCCACAATTATGTGTTATAAATTAATAAATTTATGGTAATTAGTATCAATACTGATTTTGTATAATGAAAAATGAAGTTATATTTTATAGCTAATTAAACCTATTCTCTAAACAGGATTAATATATTGTGTACCATTGCAACATGCAAAATTAATTCAGTATAAAATATTGAGTCATTAATCAAGGTGGCACAGAACAGGAAATTTTAAAAATTTGAAGGAAATTTTTTTTTTTTTTAAAAAAAAATCCAGAAAATGGTAAGGAACTTATTTAAAATACTCAAAAGGTTAAGAGAAATTAATTAGATTTACGTGAATTAGTTCCAAAAAAATATGTCGGGTACTAATTTTTTTTTCCTTTCATATTTATTGGGTCCCATGAATATGAAAAGAATGTTTGTTTTAATACATTTGATTTACATAGATAAATGTTATGGATATTTTTTAATTGCATCTATGAAGCTTTGTCTATTTTTTTAAGCATTTTGAACTATTTAAAATTTTTCTAAACCTGCATTTTGAACAATGACCGAAATAAATAATTTTCAAGCGATATCTAAATGCTTAACACATTGAAGTGTAATCAAAGGAAACAATGTTTACATTTTTATGTCTCTATGACTTGAATAAGATTATAATAATTTGAAAAATTAAACTATTAGTTACTTCAGAATATTAATAAAATGTAATAAACTACAAACTTTGAAAATGATAGTTTTAATTTATTTAAACAGAGAAAGCATTCAATACAAAATCTTCATCATTGAGCATACAAGAAAATATCAAACAATGTAGAATTACAAAGTTATTTTCATTTTAGCACTATTTAAAGTATAGTTAGAAAAATTGTGTACTATTTTAGCAGGCTATAATTATGCTATTAAAAACTTAATGTTTTTTTTTAATTTTTATTGCAATTTTTTAGTTTAGAAATAATATTAAAATTGATTTAATGACAAATATTATTTTAATATAGTCTAGTTATTAAGTTCTTAGAAACAGTTTTAATTTCAAAGTGTCTGGAAATCACTAATTAAGTATTCATAGTATAAGAAAACACTGCTACACTTAATTCATTGAATAATTTAATTGAGTATTAAAAAAATTATTACTAACATCTAATATTTAAATATATGAATATATAATTACAAATTTATAAAAAAAATTTGCAAATGATTAAAAAATTTAATTCTGTTTGAGTGCAATATTAAAAACAGTTTTTTTTTTAAATTTTATTATTAAAATCTTAGTAAATATTAATCATTTATAAGGAATATACAACCAAGGAAGAATAAATCACACTGAGTAAAATATAACAGAAAGAAACTCTTAAAAACACCAATACAACCAAAATTCAGGAAATCAGCTCAGCTAATATTCAATATTTCAAGTCTTAAATGTAATTACCAAATGTAATCAAAATAATATGATTAGAAATAAAAATATAAAGTTTTTAAAATCTAACTAAATAGTAGAATGAAGTTAATGCAACAATTTAAAATTACAATAATGAAATTGAAAAGAATTAATTGTAATAAAAAAGAATGTAATTTTTAAAAACAAAAAATTAACCTCACTTTTTCCAAATTTGCTGTTTTTTTTTTTGTTTTTTTTTTTTTGTCAATTATTGTGATAAAACTTAAAAAAGTTTTAATTTAGAATAATAATTTTTTTTATAGTTTGCATGAAAAATAATAAAATTATCATTGAATTTAAAGATTAAAAAATAAAACTTTCTGCNGATAGGGGGGGAGGGGTTTAAAATTTCTCCATTTTTGTGTACGTACTTTTTGAACGGCCCCTAATAAGTAAAGACTTCTTTGGTTTTCTTATTTAAATTTTATTGATAGAATTAGAATTATTATTACTGCAAACTATAATCAGTTACTTTAGCAAATGTTTTATGATTATTATAGAAAATAGATCATCAAAAAAAAATTTTTTTTCAAAGTTATTTTTTGCAACAAATCTATGATTAGTACTATTTCTTATAAAGTGCTTATTTTAATAAACAGATAAATCTAAAATGTTTTGTCTGCTTAAAACTGAGTATAAAGCATACTTTCTATTCTTGTCAGTTCTGTCGTTTTTTTTATCAGTTGCTTAGAAGATGTGCTTCAAGAGTGTTTTATGCTCCATACTCTTATTTAATCATAATATATATATACAAATAAATAATAAATTTGTTTTATTTACATATCTATATCTCTCTAAAAGACTAACTTGTTTTAATTGTTTTCTCAAATACGTTAAATTTACCCTATAATTTTTAATTCATCAGAAAATCGTATGCTTTAAATTTGAAAGTTTTTTTTATTCAAAACTTGCTCTATTAGGTTTGGTCACTAACTGTAGAAAAGTTAAACACTGATAGTTATACCATATTAATGAACAAAACTAAGTTTTTTAAGTACTTTTTCCAAATATACATAATTTCACACTATAAAGCATTTAAATTGCTACAAAACAATCAGATTGGTTAGCCTAGCTAAGAAAGAAAAATATATTTAAAGAAAAACTTGTAACATTCAGTTAGAATTGAACGATAAATTTTTATAGAATTAAAAATATCACAGAAAATATACTTTTTTACATTAGTTTTATGCCTATCTTGAGCATATTCAAAAGAAAGCCCATTATGATACAAATTAGAAAACTACTCATTTAATGTGCCATGAATTTCTGTAAACCTCAGTAGATTCAAGTATTTGAAAAAATTTTCATTTTCGTACACTTTTTCTATTATATGGTCTTCTAGAAGACACTTAACATAGCACTTAGCTTCTTCTACTGTTGAAACTAACCGTTCTTTTAAAATCCATTCAATAATACTATTATATTCAAACACATTGTGATACTGAACATTACTTTTAACTTTTTTTCCAACTATTTCTCTTCGACATCTTTCAAAATAGTGGATAATAAATTGTTCACTTGTGCTATTTTGATTTATGTCATCAATTTCATTGGGTAACAATTTATTCAAATATATTTTCCACTTTGTATGTACTATATTTATTAGACTTTTATCGAACCCAAATATTATAAAGAAAGAAATTCCTAGGCTGTAGTTTACTATAACATCTAGAAATTCAAGTTCAATAAAAACACCATTAACAGCTTCCATAAGTAATTTCCAAAAACATATTGATAAACTTAAAGTCATTGATACAATTAATGCAATGAGTAATCCTATATGCTTTGGGAAATGTTGATTATCATTGATTCCGGTTCCAATTTCTTGGTTTTCGTTGATGTATCTAGACACTTGTGCAGCACAATCATGCCTTCTAGTAACACTACATGAATATTCAGCACTACATACATGATCTTGAATTTCACTGCTTGATTCATTTCCGCAACACCCAGATTGCCGAAAATTTCGACCTATATCTTCAATATCACAACATCTTGAGCTTGAACCACTGACTCCACTTTCAGAACAAATTGGAGCTATTGGTTCAATTTCTCTTCCATGATTTGGGTTTTGATGATTTATCGAATATTGGTTTAGATTATGAAGATCTTTCTTAGAGTATATCCGTTGCATAATAAGAAGTGAAATTGTCCCAATTAAAGTTACTAACGTTAGAACAAAAGTTACAATGTATTGAATATAACCTAGTTGATAATTTGGTCCACTGTTATTGTCATTTTTGTAAAGTATTAAAAGAGCAGCCAAAACATAAGGAAGAACTAAACTAAATATTATTGACAAGGCATTGACTTTCTTCTTCATGTGTAAAATAAAGCAAAGACTCCTAACTCTAAAAATGAATAATAAACATGCAAGTAAAACAGCACACATTCTTGTAGCGTATATTCCTCCATTAGTTAGTATATATTGAACATAAAAGAGGGCTGAATTTTTAACAGGTGAGAATAATAATAATAAACCACCAGCAGAAATTGAAAGTTGAGTGAAAACTAAGAAAATAATTACAGTAAAGTTAATATTCCTCCAGCGCTTTCCTAAACATAGCAGCATTAATAACCAAATGCAACAAAATGCATTAATTGCACTAAGATAACCAATTGTTGAGTTCAAGTAAAATGAAATATTTTTAACGCCAATCTGATTCAGGGAAATCACAGAAGCTGTCGAGAACATTACAGGAGCTGAAATCAGCGTACTATATATAACTGTTTTTGCTATAGCATTAACGCAACTTTCATATTGAGTTGCAAACACATAAGCTGTTGGTGCAGTTGGTATTGTGCCATAAAGAAATCCAAAACTACTGAATGCCTGTATTTCTGCTTTTGTGCTATTTTGCAATAAAAATGTTATAAACCTTTGCAGTAGAAGTGGAAGGATTAAATTTTTTGCAAGAATTATTAGTGCTACTGATAGTGAAATATTGCTTGAACCTTTGTTTCTGAGATTCATGGTGTATCCAAGTAATAATAAAGCAGTTGCTGGAAATGCAGAACTAAAGGCTTTCAATATATAACTGAGAAAAGGACTAATGTTCTTACCCAAAATCACATTCCATAATAAACCAATTATTGTAGCAATGATTACAGGGTTTTTAAAAATTTCCTTAAAAATATGGAACCAGTTAGAGTTTTTGTGTGTGATATTTCTTTGGTTTTGCTTCTCAACTTCAAGAAAGAAAAACCCAATCCCATTTAAAATCAGTAATTGAATGGGTGCTATTATATACAAATATGTAGGAAATTCTGAATGTGTGTTTTGGTATAAAGATAGGATAAGAGGGTAACCAAGTGCAAAATCATTGCTCTGAGTTGCTGCAATAGCATAAATACCTGCCTTTCCAAGATTTAATGGATGGGTTAATAAAATAGTAACCAAAGCAACAGAAATAAAAATACATGTTTTGGCTACAAAAACTGATGCTATGAATTCCCATTTTATCTGTGTAAATGATATAGTTGAAACTGTAGAAAAAATTAAAGCAGGTAATGATAGATATTGCACAAATATCGATAAACCTTTAGCTTCAACAGGGCGTAACATTTTAGTTTTTCCAAGAAGAACATATCCTAAAAACATGATTCCAAAGCATTGCATTAAAGCTGGAAGCAAGGTGTCTTGTAGGGGTATTCTCGTCTCCTTTTCCATAGCTTCTTGCTGCTTTGCAATTAATCTTTAAGTCTGTAAAAAAAATAAAAAATTATTGTAAATAGATTTATTTAGATTGCATAAGTATAAAAGTTGTTGCAAGACTATCACATTCTAGAAACTTTATTGTTGACTTAAATATAATAATTATTAGTAGTAGTTTTGTGCAAAAACAATAATAGTAATTATTATTATTACTACTTTGAAACTTAAGATAGTTCACAGATTGAAACACATCTCTTTCAGAGGCAGAATTCAGACACATGCCAACAATAATGTTGTTGCCACTTAAACAGCAACTAACATTAAAAATTCTGTGTCTTTTAAGTACAAGATATAACAGATTCCGCTCTAGAAGGAAATATTTTCTATATAGTTTAACACAGTGTTGAAAACATAAATCAAATTGATTGAATGGTTATTTTAATCACTAGATTTTTTATAAAATCATCTATTTAAATTATTAACATAATTTTTGTTTCACAATTTTTCGAAATAAGCTCATAAAGCATTTTTATGTATGTGTACTACTAATAAACAAAATTTTAAAAAATGCTACATTTCTTTTATTATATATATACATACATATATATATATATTTTCTATAAAAACTCTGTTCAATATATTTTATTTTAAAAAAATTTATAACAGCACCAAATATTTTTTTTTTAATTGTGTACCATAATATTAGTTATAAGTTTTCTGAATTACTTCAATCAAAACAATTTTCCATTTGCTTTTATAAATATTGAACTCCAGAACAATGCAATATTTTACATTTCAAAATTAGAATACCAAATGAGGTTAAACAGAATTTTCCAAGATAAGTTTTTTTGCTCTATAGTGTCCTTTTAGGTTAGCAAAATGTTAAGTATAAAATGAAATTCTAAGCCAAGGTCCAAATTTTTCGAATTAATAAGGTGTAAATATAAAGTAAACTAAAGATAATATAATTATATATCACAAAAATTCTTGTGAAAATTTTAGATTGTTCAATATTATCTTAAATGTGATCCATAATAATAATAAAAAAATATTAATAAGTTCATCATTATTTTTACTGGAATAAGGGAAATTTATACTGAATAATTTCAACAAGATTTGGACATTTTAATTTTAGAAAAGTTTAATTTTGTGATAAATATTAAAAAAAAAACACTCAGTTTACTTACAGGACCCCTCCCCCCAAAAATGCCTTTTGTAACTTTTGATTTATTGAGAAAAAACATTTAAACATTAACATTTTAAATATGTTAATAAATAAAATACACTCCATAATATTAAATTTAGAAAATATAATAATAAAAACTGATGGGTTTCGGACACCCCATAAATTTTTCAAGATCATAAATTATGCTAGTTATCACTATATATATATATATATATATAACGTCCTTGCCGAGTGGAAGGATTAAAACGGGTCATAGGCAGAGAAGGAGGGTACAAAATTTTTTTATTAATTATTAGACAGAGTAGTCATGAGAGTGTGTAAAAAGTGAACACGAAAAGTTGTGCTCCTTGGTTATATGTTAGGGAAAATCCGCAAAATGTCTTAATTTAGGGAAAAAGGGAAATCTTAGTAGTTGCTATTGGTTTATGAAATAGAGTGAGAGGAAAGGGAAAAATGTCCTGCTTTTAATTAAATGCATACTTGAGCCAAAAATAGATTTAAGAACAGGATGTGGCTTTTAAAAGTGTGAGAAAGCATTTCGATTTGAATAATTAATTAGGATAACATAAAAAGATTAATTGAAGCTTTTTATGTTACATATATATATACAGAGCTTATTCTAGGCAGGGTAAACAGAGTGCAGCATCATGCTGCGCCTGACCAAAATACGATTTCTAGCAAAATCAGTATCTTCACTAAAACACAAAGACATTTTTAAGAACATGGAGTTTTTATTTTATTCACAAAAAATAAATATGATTCACAAAAAATAGGTTAAACTGCATGACACAAAAATTTTTGCAGAGTATTTGAAAAAACTAGTTAATTTATTTATTTTAAGTTTATGATGAGATAAAATTATTTTTTAAAAAATAAGCAACAAGAAAAATTCACAATTAGTAACTAATATTAATGAAGATAGAGGAGCGGTGGAAAGTTTGGATACCTTTTTGCTATTTTATCTTTAATTCAAAGTTTTAATAAACTCTAATAATTATGTATCATTGATTATTTCATTTAATAATGATTGAAACTATTTTGAATTTAGAATAGTTGTCAAAAAATAAAATTATAACTAATAGGATTTTTTATAATAAATATTTCATCAAATTTCAGAAATTTAAAATTAAGACTCTTAATGTTTCAGAGCTGGTATTATCAATATTAAATTAGGTTGCTGTTTTCATCATTCTTATTTATTTTTATTATATTTACAATAGTCAAAAGTAATAAATAATTATTTCATATAACTTTTCAACTTCAGTGAATTAGCTTTATTAATGTGTACAGAATTGATTAATTTTGCATAGTAAACATTATTGTAATGCTGTGAAAGTGTCCATAAAAATGCAGGACATAATATTAATGCATATTTTTTGTCTTAATTATAAAATTTTTCTCAAGCAACGCGTCAAACAGATTTGTATTTAGATTAAATGTTACATGCATACATACACTTATTATTCAACATGTTGTATTTGACTTAGAATTGTGTCATTGTTCTTATGTAAGTTTCGAAACACTATTAATTCTCACTACGTTGTGGCGTAACTATATATATGTGGCGATTCGGTATTTAATATTTATAGTGGTAATTACACCACAACGTCATCAATAGATCAAATAGTCCATTCGTAATGGTTTTAATTTCAGTTAACATTAAATTTTAAAAAAATTCTGCTCCATGGTCTTACAAATCATTTTAAATGATAAATCGAAGCTGACTGGTTTATCAATATTTACTTACCGCTGAATGCGTACTACGATATAACAGAGCTGGTTATTCGTTTTCAGTTATGTTCATTGTTTAAGAATATGTACAATATTTTTAAGGTTTTACTTTTTAAAATTAGCGTTTTTATGTTAATGCCATTCAATTTCAAATTTTGATTAGTTTTGAAGAGCGGTCGATTATATAACTTAGTGCATGAAATTTCATTTAAAAAGACCGTACTGTTGATAATGGTTAAGTACTTAAATATATTTATCTAGGCTGGTGAGTTAGCTTATAGCTTCCTTTGTAAGATTTCGAAAGAAAGTAGTAAGTGGAGCAAAAGCGTGAAAAACGTTTTTATGAAATAAAGCGAATCTTGCAAGAAAACAATTTAAAAAAAAATAAAAAATTTAATTTAAAATAGTCTTTTTTTTTTTCAGAATTATATTTTTGATTTACAAATATCGAGAACAAAAAATTAAAATAATCAGGAAAAAAGTTTTTATTGGATGTACATTTAAAGTTCATCATGAATTATTTTCTGAATATTTTTTTCTCAATCTAGCAAATTTTAAACATATTAATTGATATTCTGCAATTTCCTGAAAGAAAATGTTATTAAATTTTATTTAACATTTCCTATTTTGTTTTGATCCATTTTTAAAAGAGAAAGGTAAATTACTTTTTTTACAAATAATTTTTTTTTTTTTTTTGGTAATTTTTAAGTAAATAATTTAAGACATTCTGAAAAAAAAATTCTTTAGAGTTTTATGACGGAAATTTTAAAAGTAATTTTCCTTTAGGTATTTATTTAAAGTTAAACAGTATTAAAGGTATTTTAAAATGTATAGGCATTATATAAAAGGTATTAAAGGTACATTCATTATCATTTCAAATTTATAAAATTATCCAAAACTGCTTCCAAAAAAAACTATCATTTGTAATTAGAAACAATTATCATGAAAAATTATCATAAAAAAATTTCTGCCTTATGCTTTTTAAAATATCTGCCTTAAACGGGAACTGCCATTCTACCTTAAGGGAATAAGAATCCTGCAAGCTAAATGAATAGAACCATTTAAAATTGTTATTTTTTCACTTTGTGACACTTAATTAAGGCAGAATAGAGGAAACTTGTGACACATAATTCGTGAAAATTCCTATCGAAAAGAATGGAATATAAAATATTTCTGTGCCATTGTAAACACCGTAAAATGACTAAAGATCATAATTTTTTTTGTCTCCTGAAGCTTCCTTCCTTCCACTTAGTGGTCATTAAAGTATTATGTAAACATATTTTTGGGCTCTCCCTCTTGTCAAGAAATTTAACGAATCACACACTCCTTCTTATGCTAACATAAAAAAGGGTACAATCTCACATCCTGGATTTTGCTTTAATTTTGACTAGAAATTTAGTTTTAGCATTAAATTCAAGTAAAAGGATGTAACTTTGCATTGAGCAAAGTATATATTTTAGTTTATTTTATAAAATTTTTGTAGAATATTCTTTGTGACTCATATTCGTGTTACAAACTGTTGACCTCAAACTCTTCAAAGGAATTATTTTCAATTTTTTCTTTCCCTGAACTCAACTGCTATTCCTCATTTGAAATTTTTCAACATCTAATTTTTTGTTAATTTTTTTTATTTTATTTTGCCCTTTAAGAAGATTTTGTATATACTAGGATTTTAATGACGCCCGGTGGCTGAGTGGTAGCGCTTCGCGCTCCCGTGCCACAGGTCCTGGGTTCGATCCTCGGACCGGGCAAGGTTGACTCGGCCTTTCATCCCTTCAGTGGGTCGATAAATGAGTACAAGCATGCTTGGGAACTAAACACTGGCGGTTTCGCGTTCGGCTGACCACCAAACCGGAACATCTGCTCCTGAACCCCAGAGCCCAAGGTCAAGAAAACTAAGATGGGCACAAGTAGACCTTGGCCCTCTTTGGGCTGTCGCGCCGCTGAGTTTAGTTTAGGGATTTTAATGCCTTACATAAGAATTGCTTATACCCCTCCTCACCTTTTGTCAGCAAAAATAAGGAAACCTCTATGCCCCCTCCGATAGATGTTTACGTAATATTTGAAGAATTCATTTGGGGCCACAACTTGTTATATATATATATAGCTGACCAGGTTGCCGAGTGGTTAGCGTGTCTGACTGCGGACGCGTTGGCCGCAGGTTCGAATCCTGCTCAGGGTATGGATGTTTCTTTCTCTCTCTGTGTTCTATGTCCTTTCTCCTTTGTGTGTGAGTGTGACTCGCCCTATAAACGGGTTTGTGGTTGTGTGACGTGGGCGACGCTACTCCACCACCGTGGCTTCGCCATAGGTACCCACTGGGTAACGAGAAGAGAGTAGCAGTTCTGGCATTTCTGTGGCCAATGGGACAAACCCCAAGTTCCCGCCATTTAAAATATATATATATGTGTGCGTGTAAAGGATGGCAGTCGCACAGAGCAGGAAAACAGACACAGGATTTTAATGAAAGCAGATTAATTTTTTTTAATCATTCTTTATTGTGTGGTAAGCAAAAAGTGTAGTTGACTCTATCGACGATCAGTCTTCCTGGTAGGGAAAATCTTGCAAAAAATCAGAAAATGTCTCGATTTAGGGAAAAGAAGGAAATCTTAAAAATTAGGGTGACCCGGGGTAATTCACGATCACTCTGTTTCTGGGGTAAATAATGATCACCTAGTGTGGGCCTACTGTTGAGAT